TATAAAATAAAATAGTATTAAAAAAAAACTCTCTTTACGATAGTGCAATACAGTTTAAATAATTTCCCTCATCAGCTTTGAACTAGTGGCCGAAAACTACGAGGTTAGCGTTGCTTCGTTGTGACCTGTATATTAATCAACACTGTAGGAGTCTCGAGAAGAGTCGGCAACGAAGATCGTCAAACTGGAGGCTCAAGTTGAGACTTTGGAATCGCGACTGCAACAGCTCCGTTTCGAGAAGCAGGTCGAAGAAGACAGCCGCGTCAATTCCGTGCTGAATTCATTTGAGACTCGCACGAATCAGCTAGAACTCAAACTAGAAACAGAGAAGTTGGACAAGCACAAATTGCAGGTAACCGCTAAACCTGATAAGTTTTCTTAAGTTAATAAGATCTATCGGGTAGTATTTGCCATCGGCGGCGCATAAACCAATGACATAAACAGCTTTGCAATATCTCTGTGTAGTGAACTATGCTGCAGCAGATTCGGAGAGCTGTCTCTTTATACTCTAATTAGTGATGTATGAAGGTAACCTTTTTCTTGTTTTATTCGTTCTTTTCACTTAGGGACAATTTAACCGATTGTCAGACCAGATGGAGAACGCCCGGCGCGAACTCGACGCAGCCCAGAAAAGGGAGGCCAGTCTACAAATCACAACGACAAATCAGCAGCGGTAAGCGTATAATGAGGTTCATAATCGGAAAAAGCAACTCCAAAAAAAGATGGCAACGGAGAACTTTGCTCTTTTATTTTGCAGTCATACGCTAGTTTCATGCAGTTTGACATATATATATATATATATATATATATATATATATATATAAGCGTTTTATATATCATATAAGCGTCAAAACGCTTATATGATATATAAAATCTGATAATGATCTGCTTCAAAAATTTTTCTGTCTACGTTTCACAGATGCCTCCTGGATATGCGTCGCGAGCTGGCTGAAGCGCGCGATCGAAACTGTCAAATGAGGATGGAAAGACAAACTCTAGTAATTACATTTTTGTATGCGTGAAAAAAATGGATAATAGTGTAAATGAGATTTTTCTAAAATCCTGTAGCATTAATCAAGGAGTGCTGCAAAGGAATGCAGATTTTGTTTGTATCAATAAGGATCGCTGACGATATAAAGGTTCTCTGAGAAAGACTGAGCTGACAAAATTGTTTGCCGCTCCATTTTCAGCGTCTTTATGTCTATATGTCGAAACTATACATGTGGCATTTGTTGAGTCAAGATAAATACGTTTTACGTTGTGACTCTGAAGTGCAAACAACTTGTCATAAGTTAGACGGCAGAGCTTGTAACGGATTGTCTTTCTGCTAATACTCTCTCTTCGTTAACTAACCAACAGGATTCTCAGCTAGAGGAGCTGATTGAGGAAGTGCGGCACCTTCAGACATGCCTTCGGGTCGCAAATCAGAGGATTCGAGATCTCGAAATTGCTCTTGAGACCACTGACCCTATCCAGATCGAAAACATCATGTTAGTAACAAATGAAGTCCCCTTTAAAAAAAAACCGCTACCAATGTCAGCATCAAGTAAAATTAGAACTAATACATTTTTATCTTTGCCCAAAAACTTTATTAATTAAGCCTTTTTGGAACTAGACCCTATTGTTAAACACTTTATCGGACATTTTAGGGAAAGCATCATTGAGGATTCGAATAGCGACGACTACGAAGACGCCGACGCTGGTGACCAGGGTCTCTCGTGATCGTTTTGACGATCCATTGTCACCACCTCCTAAGGCAATCTCAGTCTTCTTCCGCCAACCAGCGACAGCCACTGTCCAAGCCATTACAGCTGGTTTGATGCTTTGGCATTTTTTTTGTTCGTCCACGCAGAGCAGTTCGCCTTCCAACTGTGCAATTTCCGCAGTTATAAAACATACGGAAAAAAATCGTAGGAAAATTAATTTCAGCGATGGCAAAACCTATCAATTCTTGTTCCACCTACTGTATCCGATAGCCCCTTGATGTGCGTGTATCAATCGCTACTCTTTTGTTTTTTGTATGAATAAACACAGTAATTCATCTTACAAATATACTGGTGTGTTCATTGTAAACGTGACGTATTATATAAATTTAAATATTTCGCTGGTCGGTAATCAACACAGATAATACATAGTCTACCTTCAGCCGTCTTAAAAAACAAACGTTTCAAATTTAAATAATAGAATTTAACTAAGTCTTGCATTCGAAGGAGGCGTATTTCGATTACTTATTACCTGCAGAGTGGGCTTCCAGTAGGAAAGAAAAACTCTTAGTTAACTTTTATCTATTCTTCATTTCATTATTAGGACAAGGTAAGTTGGTGATATCTCTAAATACGCCTCATAAAGAAACTAACGTCGAGAAGGTCATTGCAATGCAAAGATATAATATTCTACCATTCGATTTTGATCTAAATAACAGTGGGGTAGAATTTAAATAATAAGCGTCCCAAATAAAATAATGATCAGCCTGCTATAACTAAAAAGAACTGAAGTATCCTTGATGTTTATATGAAGTTCGATGGCTAGAATTTAGAGGCTTCATACTTAAAAGCTTTAACGATATTTTGAGATTCTTTTTTTGACAAGGTTAGATTTGAATCCTGTCATCCAAAGCCTATGACGTCCCTTTTATAAGCTCTTCTCCCAACAAGTTGTCTCCGAAAAATATCGACTAATTGCAAGGCTTTATCTGCAAGTTCTTTGTTTTTTTAGATAATTTATCTATGGAACATACAATATTTTACTATAATATCATGAAAATGTTGTTACTATTCAAAAGCTGCTGCGAGAAAAAGTCCGATTCTCAGCTGTACTTTTTGCTCTCTTGTATTGTTGCGAGCTGAGGGCAACGGACGATTTAGTCCCATAAATCTCATAAACTGGACTAAATCGTCCGTTGGTTTCTAAACCACTAGACGAAGGTCAAATTGTATAACTTTTTAAATAAAACCTCGATAGAAAGCTGAACTTATGGCAAAAAAAAAAAGTAATCAAAGCAAGTACCAAATGAGATTGATTGTGCCTCGAAGTGTATGAAAATTTCATCCAAGAACCCAGAATTATGTTCATCAAAGCAGGGCCACTTCGACGAAATGGCGGATAAATATTTTTTTTTCAATACAATCAGAACTTCCTGCTGAATGCAATATAGGACGGTTTTATAGTGACCGTGCATTTATTAGAAGTTGGAAAAAAAGAGTTCATCGTTACCGCTTTCAAGCGAATTTGACTAATTGGTATATTACTTTCAATGAGTGTATATCCACGTCTGCCTGTCGACGGGCATAGAGGGCTCTGCAGAGGACCGATCTGGTTTCCCCACTGCATTTCACTATTCTGATAAGCCTCTAACGAACTGAGCAATAGTAAAATACTATTGCCTAAAGTACTTTTATGCAATGCTGAATGCTTAACAGTGACGAACGCAAACGTATGGATGTGCTCATCTTTTGAAGCAAAACATTCCTCTGTTGAATGTAACAGTGAACATTTGCAGGCTCGCAACTAGGAAGCAACTAGATTCTAATCTTGTGGCTGATATATGTAAAATTCATGGCATTAACTCAACGTAACTTCAAATGATCAAAAGGTATCTTATTGCAGTAGTACGTCGAATGAACTTATTTCTATTGGTTTATTTATCATTTTAACTTCGACCCTAAAGCAATGTATAGTAAAATGGAACGATTCAGTAAAATTAATAACATTAAATTATGTAGTTCATATATATGTCATCTATTTATGAAGCTTAAGATCATAGTATTCTGCTAGGACATTGATTCCAGCGTAAAGCCCAGACCAGCGTCGCAAGTTGCTAACGAACGACCATGGTAAGTACATCCGGCCTAATTCTATTTTGAACCAAACAGACCGTTTGTTGTCTCATTGTTACTCTGTTGTACTCGAAAGGCTGAACCTTTCGTTGAAAGAGGCGAACGGCCATCAAGGGTTCAGGTTAAAACAAAAATATTAATCCATCCCGGTGAGAATCTGAGATAGAAGAGATGCTAAATTCTGCCTGAGACTCCCAATGAGAGCGGATGGTCCCCTTTTCGACTATTGTATATCAGATCTGCCAATTAGTAGCGATCGTAATTCCCAAAAGTATCATTAGTTCGGGGCTCGTTAGTGGTACATTATGTTTCGACTCGTGTCCATATCTGTTTGGATAAAAAGGTAACTAACTATGCTGCAGGAGTTCGACTATAATCAGCACGGCACAGGGGTGACGGCGCAACAAAGGAACGATCAAAACGTTGTTACTTTACAACCATATAAGAGAAATCCAGACAATCGAAAAAATCGAGACAACCCTCAAACTGCCATTTCGACCATTTTCGCCGACTTGATCGATGCCGGAACAAGGTTTTGTTCGGCTGCCCAGACACAATAGCCTTTACCGAGCTAGTAAAGCGTTGTGTCCTTAAACCGCGGACCTTATACGAGCATGTTTTCTAGGAAAGTGTTTAATACATGGGCTTGTCTAGCAATATCGACGACAGACAATAGCAGAGAAACTCAGGAAGGGTATCTTAATAGCGCTTTTTTTTTTTTTTTTTTTTTAATCAATACACAGAATGGCTCCGGCGAATCGAGTTTCAGCTATACAATCATCGATATTATGATAGAATCTGCAACCTAAAAATACAGCTCTAACGTGTCGATAAATTGAATAGTTGACGTGTGAAAATGTTTATAGGAGTGTACCGATATTCTACACGGGGCACCAACATTATTATGATTTCTACTAGGCCTATAACGATTAGACTCGTTCACGTCATATTGACCCTAGCACAAACTAGAGCTCGGGCAGTCCATCATTATTTTAGCGTCGTTTTTAATGGATTGTTTTTTTTTTACCCTTATTTTACTTCGAAGGCGTTCTTCTGAGTTAGTTCGACAATGATTTTCAATATCGCTGCTCTCTGTCGTTGTCCAAATGTCTACACCCCAATTACTTGGCAAGCGTGAACGCTTCTTGGCTGCGGGGGCCTCTAATCAATAGGACCAACGGCCCAAAACACGCACATGCAACGTGTGTATTTATGTAATCCATTCATTTGGCCTATTCTAAATTTTTCTAGCGAGTCGCTATAACTCGCAAGATACTAATAACGCAAGAAGTCAGCTTTTGAGATGGACCACTACAATTATATAATGAACTATTTACGTACTAATACGAGCGCCAACGTAAAAGTCACAACTGCCAATGATCCTTTTCGTCGAGCATTTACAGATAGTTTTTATAGCACGACATTGCTCCCTTAAATAAAAGCTTTATTTTATATTTAGCTATATTCTTTATAGTAGGTCTGTATGTTTGTTAGTTCCCCTTTCTCTGGTGTACCGAGATAGAATTAAGCTTAAAAGTATAGTTATAAAAAAAAATTAGTTATCACGTTTCTTAGTGGAAGTTCGGCACTGTTCTGTGCGGATTAAGACTGGCACTGATAAAGAAACGCAATTAATCAGCAGAGCACTTACATTACAACGAGTTAAGTGTATTTATATAAAAAAGAGAAACAAATAAAAGCTTTGAAAGTAAAACCTGGCCGATGTGGGGGCAACATAGCATTGTATGCCTACTGTAAAAATTCATTTCGATGGCAATCATTGGCTTAGCGACAAAAAGGGTAATAAGATCGTAATTCATTACACTTCTCCCATAGTTGTGCTTTGTAGCTAATCATTCAATTGGGAATAACGAGCGCGATTCAAGTTAAAGTTTGTATGGCCATCGCGATTCGATAGACCGGCTTTTTGCGGGTATATCATATTAATTATTAACTTGTCGAAGTGTGTACTCGTCACAGTCAAATTGCAACGAGCTACTGGGTCAACGTTTTTTTTTCTCCGCACAACCCGCCATAACTTAATGATTCCACCAGCATTAATTATGCGTTAAGGTGCAAACATTTCGTCGGTTGTTGACTTAATAAATGCAGACATACTCCGGCCAGGCAGACAAGGAGCTTGTATTTAATACGCCGTCCGTGCAATATCCATTCCATAGTCTAGCCCAAGCATCTCTTCATATTTCTATGGAAAACTTTTTTCCTGTGGCTCCTCCGGTTTATCTTTGACGTACAAACAGCTTACAGTCAACGAGTTTCTGATAAATTTGCCCGTTTAACCTGCTCTTAGCGCGACTCAGCGCGTTCTTTATTGCAAAAACGATAGCACCCCGACGAGAATCCCGCTTGTGCTTATGTGCGCTATTGTACATGTAATCCAGGCTGGCCGCTCTTGGACTCCTCTTGAGGAGCGCTACTTCTGCCGCAAGGAGCCCTGCTCTACCTCAGTCCGCTAGTGACTGCAAGCCACAAGCGGAGCAAAACAAATCGGGAAGTCGTCCACGCAAGGAGCATTGCTTTACAACAACGGGACGGCTGGTTCTCCGGTAGCCAGCCGGTTGTCGGACTTATTTGCTCTTCGCTGAGCCAGCCAGCCAGCCAGCGACCGTAGTAGTGCTAATGATAGAAACGGTAATAGCTTTCATAGTAGAAGCGGTAAATAGGCAGTCGTCGCCGCTAAGCAAGTGTTTGTTGACCGCCAGCCGCGGCTTCCAGCACGGCCGTGCGTGCTCCTGCTACAAAGCGGGGAGCGACCGAGGTATCTAACAACGTCGAAACGAGGACTAGCTATCCGTTGTTTCTTTTGGCTGTCGCCTTTTCCGGGGCAACCGCCATTGCCAGACAGGCGGCGGACGTCGACCGACGCTTTCGTGTGCTTCGAGTCGAGACGCTTCCTGTGTGTCGACAGCAACATACCGTCGTGCAGCAGACACACGGACTTCAGACGATGACGGCAAGACGGACAGTCGAAACAAAAACTGCTGCGGAGTTGTCATAAGAGTAGCACAGGAGAAGCTGCTGACTTCTCAACTGCGATCGTCCGCTGCTCATCGAATTGGTTCTTCGTCGTGAGAAGATATCGAGTGAATAGAAATTATTCCTTTCGTTAGAACTGCGTTTTGGATTCGTTCTCTCTCCTTTGTCCCTCTCTCCTTTGCTAAAAAAAAGTGGAGCTACTAGTCACATGCGGATTAGTGTACTATCAGTTGGGTGATCTGTTTTCACCACACGGTATTCCGCCCGTAAGAAAACACCAGCGTGGACAGCGGCTGATCACTGTTATATGCCGGCATCTGAGTTCTTCGAATTTCAACAACAGTGGTACGTTCATTCACGAATTATGTACAGGTGCACACTTTTAATCGAATGAGTGTGCAGCTCATGTAAACAAAACTCCCACGGGTGGTTTATATATGTGTGTACACACACATATATATGTATATATATATATATGTATGTACACACATACATATAGATATAGACAGATACGTATCGCAAGGGCATACCAACTATTGGTACTGTTCTAAAAATCGAAATAATCAACAAAATGGTTGCTGAGACAAGATGTCAGGCCATACAGCTATCGTCATTTGCAGACGGTGCCGTAGCGACCGAAGCCATCAGCTGAGTCAGAGACGCCGGCTGAATTTGGCCAAATGGTCCATCTTTAAAGAGAAAGTACCTACATAAGGTACAACAATACTTTTCAAGTGATCTGACTAACGAATGAGCAGATGGCTTAACTAGCTCGTTAGCGCAGCTTGAAACCCCTCGCGCTTGAAGCACACACACACCTGATCTGTGTGGCTGGTCGACAGAAACAGGAGACAACCCTGAAAGGTGTTAGGGATACAGCCGAAACGGATCAGCACAGACTTAGCGGATTAGTGGTGCATTCAATGTATGAGTAGCAATAGCTCAAACAAAACTTTGCTAGGACGGATATTTAGACTCTGCGACTGAACTACCAACAAACCTTTTTCTCTTTGACTGATTCCGAAGCAGATCCGATAACTCTGACAGCCGCATATTTACATCGCAACGTTGAGAGGGCGTGGACGCGTGGAAGGGAACTGTACAGTTGAGAGTTTGACTCTTACTTCTTCAGGACCCTCGCTAATTCGTGGAAACGACAGCGTGTGTACAAAGCTATCAGCTGCGCCAGATTAGCCTGGTATTAGTAAAAGTGTCAGTGATTACCTCAGAACTTTATAGTTGTAGTGAGTGTAGCGGTTAGTATTTTAGACACCCGTGAGCTACTGTGTATCGAAGTGCCTACATAGTCGTCAGCAGCAGTGAAGGGCGGTAGTTCGTTCAGCACGGTAAGGTACCCGCACTAGAATACTACAGAGGGGCGGGCCAGGTGCGAAACGCTCGGTTTCAAAGTCAGTTATTGCGCGTCCGCTCAACGTTAACATCGACAGCATACGTACCTTAGTAGCACCGTATACATTATAACAAAATAAACTTTACCAAAAACCGCTTCGACGGAAACAATAGAAGCTGGAAGACGGAAGCAGTCAGCAGGTAGACAAGATTATTCGACAGTTGGGCCTGACTTCCTATCGCGTAGCAAAAACCGATCGTAAAGCGGAAGAGAGTCAAAATTGTGACGTGTACACGGCACGAATATGGCCACACTGCCAAAGAGTCTCGTACAGCGCAGAACCAACTCGCTGGACTCAGAACGCGAAAGTTTCGAGAAAAGTCAGGCAATTAGCATACAGAAGGCCATTAATACAGTGGAAGGATCCGTCAAAGAAAAGCATGTGCGCTTCATTCTCATTGGAACTCACCATGAACGAGGTAAGTATCGTTAGCCGGCTGCGATGTAGAAAGGTGAGACTATGCATAGCTGTTTCATTAACTAGTGGCACGTAGCGTGCGTCCATCTGGCGTCGGTACTTAAATAACTAGACACGGCTTTAATGTGCAGGAACGAAGTAACACTGTGCCGTCTGAAGTATGAGCCGGACGAAGAGCGAGATAACTAGAAATGAGAGACATTTCGATACGCTACGCAAGTTAGACCTGTGAGCCGATTGTTGAGGACGGCAAAACAATACGAATGTTACAGATATCTCCGCCGGATGTTGAGGCTCGCCTAAAAGAATCAAGTGCCATCATTTTCAATCGCTAAATTTCATAGGGCTAATTTTTCATACCTGATATTCAGTTTTCCTTTTCCATTGCACTGGAGTAATACTTCTGTATTCTCCTTCAATAGTTGTGTTTTACCATAATTCCTTACAAATATGATATGTCAATACGACCGTCTAATGGTCCGCACCATTTCGCCACGGTTGACTGATGAGTGGGTCCGTCTGCTAGGGTGACATTTTTCGAGTACTGCCACCAATGGTTCAGTCTACATAGAAACCTTGTTAATAAATAATTGATATCAATACATGCGCAAGCTGATTTGCTATTAGCAGTACTTACGGTGAGAAAATTTCAGTGGCCTGGAGTAACGAGTAGGGGGCGGAAATACTTTATCTCTAATGGCCTTATGCTGCTATCTTGTCTTGTACATAACCTGTCACGATACTCCCTCTCAAAGTTCTAGTTTCCTCTATCGTACATTTGTTTGCCATTCAATGATAATCGGCCAGAAAATTGATATAGATTCGGCTTATTGAACAAAAATGATACAAATATAATAACAACCCAAAGACCTTTGGCGGACTATAATTTTTGGTGATCAATAGATGCAATAATTGAACATCTGTTACAGTGTGGTAAAGAAGAGAAGATCTGACCGAGCCAGAATATCCGTTCGTGAGTAGTACGTTGACGAATAGGATATATCCAGAATATTACTCAGTTCTATTGAATTACCATTTGTCGTTACAACATTTAACACATATATTGATACGTTGCACCATGTGACCAGACCTCAGATCGATGACCATCGAACGTGGCCGCTGTCAAGACAGCAGCCGCGGAACAATGGTGCCTAAAGCATGCGCAGTAACGAACCATCACCGTTTTGGAGTTGGCCAGACCGGTCTCCGGAAGGGGTTTCACGATAGATATGTCATGGCTTTTCCTGGAAATGTTCAAATAACAGCTGAATGATATAAATAAAAGGAAGCATCTGAAAAATCAGAAAGAATTGACAAATTAATGATAATGAAAGCGCGTATCGATGGTTCTACTCTGCTGCTTTTGATGAACGTGAGGGGTCGCATCTCAGCTTCATCTGATCAAGTATACGCTTTTTTTTTGCTCTTAAGTAGAAGTAAACCTGATACTTGAATAAAATGAAACAGTTCTAACATTATATCTGTATGATATCCCTAAGTCTATTCGTACAGAATCAAAACCTCGAAGATACTTCTTGATAATCCCTAATTACGCTATAGACTATCGCGGGTATCGGGAGTCGATTTCCTACATCAGGTAATAACGATAAAATTACTATTTTCTGCCGCTGTGTTTCTGTTCGAAAAAAAAAAAAAAAAAAGAGACTGTGACGATCGTAATCATACAACTTGATGTTCATCAAATTTAACGCGTTTCTCTTTCTGTGCTTGTTTTCTCTCACCTGCGAAAGTTGGCAGAATGACTGTCTGTAGTACTACCAGTGTTACTAAAATGTCTAGAATATTAAATGGGCATTTCTAAGTCTTCGTAAGTTGCCTTACGAGATGATCGTTGCTTTCGGGGGTTGTTCTAGGCACACGCCATCTAGAACATCGCAGCAGACATATATGGACATGCCTCATTGATGTCAAAGAGCCACTACGCAAGACCGATTAGCAATTATTACCTTGATTCCACTAAAACGTATGTTTACAATACATTCTTGCGTTGCCTCGCATAATATCGAATTCGGTTTGGCTAGGTCCGCCTACAATTACGTGTCCGTTCACAGGTTGCTAAAACATACCGTTTACTAGTAAAAAAGCATGGGCAGCATAAATAACTGGTATTATTTTCTCTTTTTATATTAAATATGATATATATATATATATATATATATATATATATATATATATATATTAAATCTGAATAAATATTTTCTTCACAATAGCCATTTGGTTGGCTCAAAAGAGCTAGACGTTCACTAGCGGTTCGACGTCCTGTAGTTCCCGAGTGGTTAAATCTGCTAAAACCATTGATTTTGCATAGTTAGTAATTGATACTCCCCAGAGTATTCCATCGCTATCGAACTTGTTCCAAAAACTCTTTTCTTTCCGTACTACGTCTTTTATAATAATATGTGGTCTTCGTCGTTCTGTGTTGTCGTTCGCGTGTTGACAAAGCTCGAGCAGACGAACTCGTATTTAGATGTGTACACGCCTATGTAAAAGAGTCGACAAAATTAGTCCCAATCATCCAGTCGTCGTTCAACTTTCTCCAATAGGAGGGTCAATCACCATCGTACATTTTACCTCGTCGTTGTGACGCAACGATGAACACAGTGAAGAACAAAACGAATGGGCTACTTTAAAGGTCTTGGCAATACTCATTCTAGCCTTTACGCAGTGAAAGCCTTTAACGATAGCTGATAACAATTGAATCATAATGGCAGTAATCGTTGACGCTGTTGCCAATCAAACATGGGTAGCATCATATAATCGTACTGACAGCAACAAAATAGTTAGGCGACGTTCTTTTTTCTCGCGCTCTGAAAGATGGCGATATCGATGGTGACACCGATAACGCGCTTGAACGACAGCCGTCGCGAATGTGTCCAGTTCGACATGAACGAACTTCACCATGCCTGAGACAGCCACCCCACTCAAATGTCTTATCCATACATGGAATAGGTACTGATGAGCAAAAGAACCGACGCGAACGGATGATCCAGTACATGCACTGATATTCTCCCGTTTGTCGAAATGAGGACTCTGGCTTCTTGTTGTTGACGCCGCGCTTATCGTCATCATCCTCATTGCGGTTAACGCTATCAGGAAATTTCTATGATATCAAAACCACAGCGGATCCTCCTGTAGCGCTTGAGGATACGAGCTCGGTTGTCGGAGTGGCGAGCGAAGATTAGGACGGGATATACAAATACGTACGGATCGACCGCGTTACGTCGGCTGCATAGCCGTTACGTGGGCGCATCAGCTAGCGAAAAGACGTGCTGTTTTGCTCTCATGATGTCTGTTTATGTATGTAAGTGTATGCGCGCTAATGGACGCCGCGACACTGTCGCAGAAGACGTCTTGTGTGCCCTGTGGCAATTACAGGAAGTAAAACTGAACGGTGGAGAAGAGCTAGGCGTTCCTAGTGATGCTATGCCAGGCTGCTTGGAATAGAACGAGCTAACAAAGTGAACGTTTCGATCATGGTTCTAAGCTTGTTGAAATGTTAGTATTATTAAACTGCTTTGCAATTATAACTTCGAAGACCTTAAACAATCTGTCTGACTCTGTTCTGTTCTAACGACAAACGATGCTAAAATACATGTTATGATAGATAATTACAAGATACTACTTGTTGCCCGTAGTTGAATGCAATATATAGAGACTTCTATTTACACTTTATATAGACAAGTGCATGGGTGCGATGGCCTGAACGGTTTGCATGTCGCCTATTTTGCCTTCGAACGTTTGGAATTGTAACAATCTTAGTAACAGCCTAGGACGACATTCGGTGCCCTTTATTGCATCCACCCTATACACAACAAACCGGGTAAAAAATAAGCTTGTTATGATTATTATTACCGATTTATCTATATCGTTTGGACCCTTTTTCAAAAATGAATGAGTATTGCCTATTATTATTACTACTGTAAGCGAGTCATTGAATCGGTGCTGATATCTAGATCATATTAATGACTAACTTTATACCATTTGTATCGGCGTGTTAAACGTAGGTCGGTGACGGGCATGTCGCCATAGGTAAACTTTCCTCAAAGAATTCAGTGTAAAATGGGAGCTGATCTTTCCCTTATATGCATAGATATTCATAACTAATTAGCAGTACGTATGTGGATAATCTTGTCTTTCTTTGAGGTCTCATTCGAGGTACAGCATTGTGGGTCACCGTTTGACTGGACACGTTTATATGAAACTTTGTTTTGTTTTGGCCAACGATGTCAAATTCCACAGCATTTATTCACTGATATCCATTTACATTTCATGATACCTTTGGTACCAAATTTCATACGGGGAACGGCATACAACAAATACATGGACGTTTCTGTCCTGCTATATTTTGTCTGTATCCCAGCACCTGTCAGGAAAGCGGCCAACAAAGTAGATGTCGGAGAAGGGATGCTACGAGCAGCTATAATAGAGCGATATATATATATATATATTCATTTTGTGTTTGTCTATCAATATATCTGTTTGTTTAAGGACCGTACACATTTTGGGAGTTTGCAATGCGACTGCCGGTTCAGGAGAATCCTATTCTCGCCTGGAAGTTCTGCTATGTCGTCCATAAGCTCCTCCGTGAAGGTCACGACAAATGCATACCGGTCAGCTTTAGGTAAGTGGATACGTATTCTCGCATAGCGACCACAGCAGTTCGTGAAACAGTGACTGCGTAAGCTGAATGGAGCTAAGCACGCATCTTCGAACTGAAACTCTCCAACGCGAAACTTGCTATAATTTTATAAGATTCGACTAAAAGTATTTTTTCACCGCGTTCTTCTTTTATTAGAATAATTATTCTATTGTTTTTTTTTTTAAATGTAAAGTTTCGCCATGATTCCCACGAATTATTATTGTTCATCCGTATACAACTTGTCTCAAACGAAAGGATCCTTGAGATAAATAATAGCTAAACATCGAGTTACGAGTTTGTCTAATTGTATTGTAGACAATTTGAGTAAATATTGCTTCGGTTTGCACAAACGGCAGCTTACGGCAGAAGAGAAACTATTGTGTAGCATATATTCGTTAGATTGAGGAAATTTTCCGCCGTTTCTTTTTCTTGAATAGAAATTACCACTTTTTTTTTTTTCGGTAACAACAAGTTATTATGTCCTATCTACCGGATTACCCCGTACTGGCAACAACCTTGCACCACTTTCCCACTAAGCAACGTATGCCGTTTTTTTATCAGCAAGCTGCGTCTGAAAGAAGTTTCAAATCACTACCATTTCGAGCCTTTGGTCCGTGCCGGAGGTAAGGCCGCGAAAGTGATTGCTACGGAAAGAGTGAACGTCTGTCGCTGTAAGAGGACAAAAAGGTACCGGGAAATCTCTTATACGAAATCTAAGGAAGCAGCACTAATGAGCAACTGGAGTTATCCCTTTCGAATAGCCTACAGCTGGTTCAAATAATAGGCCAAGTCACTGTTTGGTTCGTAGAAAACAATCCCCAATGAAGCAGGCCCTTGCAGTCCCACCAAACGCACAGTACAACTGATGTCCGGTTGGACCCTGCGACTTGGCTTCTTTCCTAGACCTAGCCATTGCCATCTTTAGTTTGTGTGGTGAGAGTTTTGTATAAAAATCAATGAATACCAAGCAAAATGTTGAGGGGCAGCGCTAAATCGTAATTTTTCAGAGATTCCACGTGATACCAAAGCCTCAAGTACCAGTGTGAACCCAAGGGATATGAAGTGGTTAGCGACGGTCGTGTGATTGTAGCCCACCTTTTCAGCCAATTCTGGGCTTGTTTGTCGGCCGTTTTTTCTCGAAAAAAAGCCTTCAAATTCGGATGTTGGGCCAGGGCGAGCGGGAGTTCTTTAGATCTCGGCTACCACTTCTGATCGATCAAACCACGTTTGAGAATCGACGGCATCGCTGCCATACATAAAGGAAATGTCCCGGGCTGTTTCGTCTGCACCTTGGCCTCGCCAGAACGCATAAGACAAGATGTGTCAAAAATACATACTTTTCCGCCTAGAATATTCATCATTGAGTGTTGTCTCGAGTTGAAATCATATTCCTAACAAAACGCAGCGAAAAAGTAACGAAGTTGTATATAGCAATCTGCTTTGTAATTTCTGTGAGCATGTCGACATTTTGATAATGCCCAAAGACTACCTCATGCATAATCGTTTTAAAATTCGTTTTTGTACACCTCGTACTGCAAAATTGTCATCAAACCGCAGAACAGATTTTGCACCTCTGCCATAGAATGTCAGTCATGATCCTGACTTGTAGAAGCGTCACTTAGTACGTCGTCTTACATTACCTTACGTATCGTATATCCTTCTCTTGCATAAACGTCCATTTAGAAACTTTTTTTTTTTTGTTTATATTAGGGTGTTACAAGCGAATCTGGTGGACTTCAAAACAGAATAACCCTTGTAGCACACGCCGCTAGCAGACAAAATATACCTGATAGATATTCCAGTCGTCTAGGAACCTGTGAATGCAAACCGTTTAAATTTAATCTAGAAGAATTGATCTCAAGAAGAAAAACATTTTTAAAATCAACGCTCAGTTTTCGTTCCTGGAAGGATACATCGCCGCGAGAATTAATCGAAGACTGGTGAAGACATTGGGCAAAAAAGCTTTAGATGAAAGCATAGTAAGTAAATGGTGCAAACGTTTTAATAACGGCGATTCCAACGGTAGACTGGAGTGTAGACGATAAGCAGGGAGGTGACCAGATGTCGGGACCGGGAGACCAAGAACGCGTTGCCGCAATCGAGACTTTTCACGGGAGCGGAACCTGAAACTTAAGGACTTTGTCGACAAAAAGCTGGCATTTTACAGAGCGAATTTTTACAGTAAATACAGTAAATTTTTCCTCTAACAATATAAATGGCGTCGCCGAAAAGTGGATTTCTATTTGACAAAAAGAATTGCGAAGACGCATTACGAAGAATTATGTCGAACTGGTTCTTATTCGATCATTTACTGCCATCCAGTGACCAGCTCACATTGCTAGTAATCGTAAATGTCACATCTATGTGTAGCTGGCTTAATAAAATTCTCGTAACGCTTTTGCTGGACACCCTTCACGGGCTTAGAGTATTGGGGTTAGATACGACAAACCGCGATGTCGTTTAACGTTTATGCGAGACTCTGATTGGTTAAGTCAATAGAGCATTATCGCAATATAATATAGTATAGGTAGAAGTGGTGCTAGCGAGCCGACGCTCTTTTTAGTTGGTATTAGCTTCACTTCACTGCATATGCGGCTTCACTTATTTTTAGAGCGTCTTCGTACGTACTACAATCGCGCTACCTCAACGTTCTTAAGCTGAGGCATCAAAAGCGGGTTGTTGTATCGATGGTACGGTTACAGGTACACAGTCGATTCACTGATGCGTGGATAGAATATACGGTTTGGAACTATTCGCATCTGCCCAGAGAGGTCTTCAGTTCGAATCTGATGGGGCGCATGTAAATCAATGCAAACTTATACTTGACAGTTTGTTAATAAAACACATTATTATAGTATTTTCCAAAGAACTAGGGCTAACTGCCGACGGCTGTAAACCTTACCCCTTCGAGGATTCCGACTGCCATATCTCAGGAGAGAAAAGTTACCCTCAAAATATCCAAGCATCGTAATTGAGTCAACTTCTCACCATCCTTGGCACAAATACAATGGCAATGTATAAATATTTTTGAGAGAATGTAGTCTTTCTATCGCTATATTTGCCCAAAGCAAGAACGTTAGTTCTGTTCGGTTGTTTGTTCGAAAACAATAAAGGCAGAACGCGACAGGGTAAAGCACTCCGTTATTGACTGATTGTCATCTTCTGGAGTGGCTGCTTGACGAGTTACCACAGATACGAGAAATGAAACAAGCTAACAATACTATATAAATATGTATGATCTCCTTTTACTTTTCGAGCGTTTCACTTGTTCCATGTTTTTAAAGGTATTCAGAGTCCATATCTCTACATATAGATAGAAACGGTATGCTGGACGCAGATTTTATAAAATAGCATTTGTCAATAGCTAGACGTTTTTAATCTGGCTGAATTGGAAATCGACTGAGCGGGTATTAAAGCGTCTCGTATTAAAGCCGTCCCAAAATAATCTAGCACAATCGTTGTTGCGTGTTACGTTTAATCGTCCTCTTTCATTATATAGACGTCAACAAAAGCGTCGCTTGCTATGCCAAATCGTCAAACTCTTCTATAAACAATGTAGTTAGCTGCCTCTGGTCAGCCTTATTTGCCTTATTTGCTACGCTTATTCTTACGTAACGGCCCGTATTAATCCTGCTACGACTTTCGTACGTCGTTGTAAAGGCCGCAACACTAACACCTAACAGGAGGAGAACGGGAGCCGGCCTTTAACAACTCCTACGTTGGACTATCGAATGTAATCCGCAGTCTAAACATTACAGTTTGGCTACACTTTGTAGGTGTAAGCCCACGCTAATTATATAGTTATATAATAGTTATGCGATTACATAGCAGAACATAGGATGCGGTAGACGATGGCGAAGGGTTTAGTAAGCGATAATGTTCGACGGATCACATCTAATCTCCTATATGCTCCTAATTATAACTTGTTATATATATATATACATATATATATAATTAATTATGATTGTAAAGTTTTATTAGCAAAAGCATTTATAATTTGCTACTGCACTCGTATCACTTACAGGTACATGAATAAATTTGCTGACTTGGGCAGGCTTTGGGGCCTCCTTAATGAAGGGTACGGACGTCTTATTGAGCTGTATTGCGCTCTCATTCTACAAAAACTAAAATTTCATGCGCGATATCAGGTCAGTGACTCGAACGTTTTTCTGTGATTCTTTTTTTTGTTCGTAATAGAAGTATCAGTTGTTTTTGTGTCAGTTAGACGTTCATTAAAATGTCTTGTTTAATAAACATATCCTTTGGTTAGGGTGGCAACAGCCTTTTTTCCTTTTATTAGGATATCTAGGGTTTTCGTTTGAGTGTCCACCTTCGAAACTGCGGAAATAATTTCAGCCTATTTTATAGGTAACGTATGCACTAACTTGTTCCTTTAACATGATTTTTCTCTTCGCCAACCTCAGGGCATACCTGGAACACTAGTGCTAGCTGATGAACAGTTATTGGCTGTATCGGAGGGCGATGTAAACGTTTTCTTCCAGGCAAGTTATTCTCCTAGAGCGTAGTTACCATTGCCCATATCAAAGTATAGCTTTAACCGAGTGCGTTGTAAAGTTTTCACTATAATCTGAAGCTGGTTTAGGCCTAAATATGTTGGCGCCGTTGTCAGTTTGCATGTGACATCTTCGACTACATGGAAAAGGTACTATCGCTCCAGGCGGCTGTTTTTGGATCGCTGGATATGGCTCGAGCGAACTCGATGACCAACTCAGGTCAGTGCCGATTGGCGCCGCTAATCTGTTGCATTCAGGTAAGTATCCACTTGTTTTACTGTCTTTAAGCTAACTCTACGATTGAACATTGTACTAGCTTCTTATTTCCCGCTACTTATCGTTAGTCGAATTGAGATTTAACCGTTGGCATTTGTTTTCGAAATACGTCGGGTGTTACAATAGCACTCAACGAAATCAACTGCGGTTAAATGGCGTAACAGCTCGAAATGGGTGGCATCATCGCCATGTTATGATTCGATAGTACGGAACGGATATTAATGACGTTCCCTTATTGCTATCAGGGAAATATCTTACGGAGGTCAGAATTTAGCGCCTAAGTTAAACTGTCGTTGCAGGCACAGACCTGAGGATAAACTGTAATTTTCTGTGTATTTAGAGAATATTAATAATAATACATTAAAACAGCGTGTGCTTTCTGTTTATTACAAACCTGATATAGACAGCCCATGCTTCAATCTTATCGTTCTGAGGGTGAAGCAACTGCGTAGCCCCCGACAATGTGGCTTTTTTCAATTGTCTGTGACAATTTGTTCCTCTTTAGATGTCAATTAAGTTCATCAACATATTACTCGAATTGTTTCGAAACAGCTGAAGTTCGAGCGTGCGCTGACATGTCATTGTCTAGTATAGAACTTTTCTTACCATATATTATACATACCAAGCTTTTGTAGCTGATTAACAATTGCACCTTATATGAAATTCAGCTGAGTATGCGAGTCTCAATCTGTACTCGTTAGTGACGTGACAAGTAGAGAACTTACCTGCTGTCATACTTGTCTGTCTATAGGACTCATCGCAGTTATATGACTTCGCAGTGAAAGTTCTTTTTCATCTTCACGCTCGATTACCCGCCGATACTCTTCAGGGTCACCGGGATCGATTCATGGCGCAGTTTCGTCAACTTCGAGGTTTCTACGCTAATTGCGCAAACCTTCAGTACTTCAAAACGCTAGTTCAGGTGCGAAGCAACTCAGTAAAGCTTTCTTAGCTAGAAACTTCAAAAGATATTCGATGCATACAGGATATTTTAAAGCAGCCTTATTAAATAGGGCGTTCGTATATTTCACACGTACCGTTGATTTCAATTCTAGGTGCCTTCATTGCCTCCTTCGCCGCCTAACCTTTTGAAGGCGTCAGAGCTTAATTCGCACGTCCGCCCCGTCGTTGTTCTACCACCACAACCGGTGGAAGCAGCTGAAGTTGCCGAAGACCTCATTGACACATCTTCTCCTGTAAATAAATCATTCTACAAGTTTATTGATGTACTATGGTTGATAATAAATAAATAGATTACACATTTAGCTTAAATATTTGCGCGCCGACTAATCGAGATTGATGTAATCGTAAGTAAAAAGGCATTGGAATTACTGTAAGATTTTCTAAATGTAACAAATCTTGCGTAACTGGTCAGTTGAAAAGATCAAATATAATACTTTTTCTTTCAAACAGTTCTGCTTATATCTATCCTTTGCCGGCAAAAAGGCCATGACCAATTTATTGCCTACAAATAAATCTTACTAATGTTGGCAAAATTTGTTCATTCAGCCGTTTCGAGGAAACTTGGTGTTGAAGTTTTGTTTGTTAGAGTTGCAATCGCGATTTTATGGCTTTAGTATAGCATTTTTCGCCCGCATCTATGCGCAGGTCAATCAGATGCCAGATTCGTCCATGGCAGGAGCCGGAAGTCCCCCTCCGCCACCTCGAAACTCTTCTGTAGACCACGAACTAGGTCAAAGAAAGGATGCTATTATTGAACAATTACTTAAGGAACTCGAAGTTGCAAGGTAACAGCATCTTTAGATGAGCAAGTCGACGGCACATGGGTCAATGGACGAGATACATATCTGTTAAGAATTTCGTTTGCGGAAACTGATCACATGCTGTATATGAATGCCAGCCATATGTAACTCACAGTGCCTATGTTTTTTCGGTAGCCAGCTTTAATCATAAAATTGTACTAGTGCTAAACATATCATTTCATTTTTATCCATGTTAGGATGGAAGCCCAACGTGTTCGACTTGAAGACGATACAGTAGCAATGGAGCTTCGCCTTCAACAGGCTACTCTCGAAGGTCAGCTTCGTGCCGAACAAAACAACGTCCGTCAGTTACAGGGACAACTAGCGGCTCGTCTCGAATCTCACCAGGTTGGTACCAATTTGGTGAGGTTTACAACAGGCAGTGGGACGCGAAGAGAAAATACGATCTAGGGAGACCTGTTGTTGGGGCTTTCGACGCTTAACACTAAATTCGCTAATTATGGACAGTAATCGAATCATTGAGGGGCGCTAAGGAGCCTTTAAACGAAAACCACAAACATAAGCTGGAAATTTTCGAAAAGGCTCATTTTGCTTCCCAGTCTCAAATACACGTTCAGTGTAACCAATCGTTCTACGCAACCTAACCAATCGTTCTTTCCGTTCGGCTGTACGTTTATGTTCTGCATAATAATTTTCCGTGATGGTCGTATCGATATTAGTTAGGTAAATAGTTTGGTCCCAAGAGCATATTATACATGCATTTGGCATCGGTATAAAGCACCGTTGTCTTTTCTTAAATAGCATACACTCGATCCGTTTTCGCGTCAGCTGCCCACCGCATACGACCTATAGCGATTGTATTAATGGAATTTCATACACTCATTCGACACCACCAGCAATGGCTCTCGTGTAACTTACTACATTCGCTCAAAAGCAGCATCAGGTATATTGTTTTTTAAACAACGTACGCTTATATGAGCTCGGTTACGGCTTACTTGGCGCTAGAAGGGCCGTCGTCAGGCGAGATCAAGAAGAAGATACTAGCTTTTACATAAGCGATAAAGGTAGTTTTGCCGTCAACGGAAGCCATCGAACGAACGGTAGCTAAAAAAGGGTCTTGCCGTCAGGGAAAGATCAAATGGAGTTAGTCTATAAGATGTCGACCGACATTGTACACGTCGTATCTGTACATCTTCTAACGAAAATGCGGCGCACGTCGGTCGTTCGGATCGGCTAACGGACAAGACGACTGCTACGGCCAGGAAAATGGATAGTATACTAGGGAGAGTATCACAAGGACTGCAGTTATCATGTCGTAATAGCATAACATCTCTGACAGCATAGATCCGCTTCAGCAGGCTTGATATCCATACCAGTTATTCTGCTGATGGGGCCTAAACTTGATTAAGGTGTCATCATCTAATTTTTACTCAATTTTTGTCCACAGGTATCAGCGGTAATGCAGGACCAACTTGAACAGCTAGAGAAGAAGTGTAAATCGAGTGACGACAAATTCCTTAAAATGAAGGGTATCTACACCAAACTTCGAGAAGAACATATTCGCCTGCTTCGAGCAAAGGCCGAGCTCGAAAAGAAACTTCAGCAAGAGCATAAAAAAGCAGAAGAGGTAGATCTCATAGTCCGTTCAGCCGTGCGCACACAGTCTTTATTTGAACCTTTTGATTTCAATGTCGAAAAATAGAAAGAAGCGCATTTTGTACGGTCGTTAACAGTCCTCTTCTTCTTAGGAGAGAATTAAATTGCTCTTGACATTGATCGATTTTGTGACCATCAGGAAAAGCTTACGGAGCCAGAAAGTATTCTGTCGTCCCGCAGCGGCTTGCTTCTAGCTGGCATTATGGAGGCAGTTGTAGACGGGGCGGTGTCAGAATTAGATATTCCGCCAAGCCAAGATCGCTTTTTGCAGAACGCGGAGATGGCGGAAACAACGTTAAAGTCGCTTCGACGAGCCGAGGGAACGGAAGAAGAGGCCCAACTTCAGGCAACTTGCTTCGCGTTGGTTCATCAAATTTTTCAGCTGCTACAGAGCGCCAAGGTGGGGAAATACGATAATGCATACCAAGTACATTAAACTGTTTTTAGAAAATGAAACACCTAGTCTGTGTATGAGATAGCCGTAAGCCATGATCTGTAATCACAGAGTAAAAAAGCGAGTTTTCACTACAGAAATCGATCGCAATATATACGGAGACGACAAGCAGTTTCAGCTATGAGACACACGCCCCTTCAACCGTCCTAACAGGGAAACCTTACTGAGACGCACTCGTCCACTCCAAGCTGTGCTTTACTAAAGGCTCTTATCGCATGATTGTACATGCATAGATAATGCATCAATACTTTTCTCTGTATCCATATAATGATGTGCATTGGAAAGTATTCGAACAGTTCGGCGCCTATGCACCTATATATATATATCGATGTCTCCAGTAACAGGGTGACGTTCGCAGGCAAATGCGCACCACTGCCCTAGTGTTGAAGCAGGACACGAGATTATTACCCGCGCACGCACAGTCGGATTGAACAGTATTGAATTGTTCAAAAGTAAGTAGCGCGATCGGATATACGATTCTCTTACTTCATCCTGTCTAAATCTTCAACATATTTCGATGCTAAGATTGAAAGCATCGTATAAGACCGAAATAATGTGTGAAAATATTATCAGGAAATCATCGTAAACAAATTGATTCATATGAATTAAAAAATATTCTTCCTCTTTTGACTGTTTACGTGTACAGTTAGTTAACTTATATCTGTATAACTTCACGCTGATATTACAGGACTTCGAATCGGAGAAGTTGATACAAGCGCATGTCTAGCCAGTCTGCGAGAGCTCGTAACCTGCATCGAGTCACAACGCCTTAAAGACGAGCAGGTGAGCAGAAGGGTAGAAATTTTACTATCGTATTCTAGCGGTCGGAATCTCTAACAAATTACGAAGTCTACCTGATTCTATGGATTATTGTTTTAACATCATGGTTTACGAAACGAAACATCGTAAAGCCGCATTCATGCAATGACTAACTTTAGTAAGTGCCAAATGACGAAAATGTTTCAGAAAAATCAGGCTGAAGACATTGGCCATTTATTATCAGAAGAATTAGCTCAAATGGACCAGGCCATTGCGGACGCAACGAAACGTATTAGCGAAATCTTTGCTAAATCGCGAGGCTCTGATGAGGGCGTCAAACTTGAGGTATACGAACACTGGCTTCGATGCCTTGTCAAGTACGGTGTGCAATATTATACGTATGGTAATAGTTGTCATTGAGTGGTTGAAGCAAGGGGCGTTGGAGGTCTTTCTAATAGTTTGTGCCACACAAACGAATTTCAACTCTTCATGTTCATTATATCCGCTAGGGCAAATCCGAAATACTACACGATATTTGACGACAGATCATTTTCAACAATGTCCTCAATCAAGCTACAAAAGTCTTCTGCAAAAGCCAACAATAAAATTACTAATGAGGAAGCTCCACTGTGGCTGTCAGCACATTAGACAAATCTTCATGTGGTTCATCTGGCATCATTAAGTTGCACGTGATCCTAAGTTACTACCCTACTGCTTATTCAAAGATGATAGATATGACTCCCACCCTTCTTGCGATTAGTGAACACAGGATAGCTGCGTCTAGGCTCGCCGTAGGTGGAAATTAGTACAACAACAACAAAGAAAGCTCAGCCATATATTGTTAAACAATCTCCAGGTAAACAGTCGAATATTGGGAGCATGTCAGCTGCTAATGGGCGCTGTTACGACTTTGGTAAAAGCGGCGCGGCATCTTCAAGAAGAAATCGGGGGCTTCTCCAAAGAATTTTACACTAAGAACCATCGGTGGACTGAAGGTAAGCTTGGCGGTGAAACGCATTTATTCATTATTGCAATATTATCTATGACCGGCAGGTATATCTACTAGTTGTGTTGAGTATTAGTTAACTGCAAGGATTATCCACAGTTTGTGGACTCTAGATATCAATTGCTTTTCATGAAGTAACGACTGGAGCTCTCATGTAAAAAGGCAAAAATCAATTGACGAACTCCCGTACTCCAAAGCGGGAATCGATTGAGAACATCACGTAACAGGCTAGAGAAGAACTGTTCTTCACTGAACTTCTACCTTGTACTATGGACGCAAGATCCCGATTTGAGCACGGAAACTCGTTGTACGTTATTATTAGTCATGTTAATCTCTCGTCAAGTTGCTAAAACCTAGTTCCCTGGGTCCTTAAAATGTTAGCGACTGAAATGTTACCCATTTGTCCAACTCCCTGCTCTCATCAACAGGTCTGATATCGGCGGCAAAGGTTGTGGGTATCGCAGCGAATTTATTAGTGGACGCAGCCGATCGTTGCGTGAGCGGTGATGCCAAAATGGAAGAGCTTATTGTTGCTTCCCAGGAAATATCGGCGGCCACGGCGCAACTGCTCGTGGCCAGCAAGGTTCGTCTCTGCTCCCTGATTTCATTTCGATTTTCCGCGTATCGCCCACTCCTAATGCACTCTTGCCTATTCATTGGACTCAACATCTTTGCCTGAAAAGTTGTTATAAAATGCTATTCAAATTGTTGAAACAAAGGAAAATCCTTTCATTATAATACACGTTTATTAGTTATAAATTGGAACATACCGACTATGTTCAATCCTATCATGTATGTACTTTTTCGTGTGCCATTATTAATCATTGCATAATCCAAGGTAACTTGCCTTTCTTGACAATGAACATTTGTATAGATATAGTTCTTATTCCCTCTTTTTTTTCTGTGCGATTCGTTTTGCGACGGCTCAGGTCAAAGCTGATCGTCAGTCTACTCGATTGGCAGCACTGGGCGCTGCAAGTAAGGCCGTTATGGAGAACACGGCCAACGTTGTGGCCACGGTAAAAAGCTGTCGACAACAGGTTGATGAGTCGCAGGACAAAATTGAGGGTCTCAGTTTACACCAGGCTAAACGGCGCGAGATGGAGTTGCAACTGCACGTTCTCGAACTAGAAACCGAACTTGAGAAAGAACGTCTGCGCCTTGGTGCGCTGCGACGAAGGAACTATCATGAATAAAACGAGCTGGGCAGAGACTTTGCGTGCAATCCTACGTTGTATTTCTCGGACGTACGAAGCATCCTATCCAAATCTCAACTACAAAATGGCTTTTGGCAATAATCAACCGGTCAGTGTCGCAGTAGTACATCAACTCGACGATTTCCATTTCTCAGGCGAAAACGTTTGTTCTAATATCTATATTTCGTTTACATACTACTAAGTATTCACGAACAAATATGTTCCTACAGCAATAGATGACAATGGCTATAGCAGGCAGTAATGGAACTTGTCTATCAAATCGGTACATTTGATATGTAAATTATATATATATATATGTATGTAATTAGGTCGTGGACAGTCTTGAAAAACCAATACGTTTTGTTATTTCCCTAGATCTTTTTAATTGGAATTATTTAAATATTTTTCTCATAAATATGTCTTTTCACAGATTTCACGGAAAAAACCTCGTTAGTTTGTCCGCTCGGGGAATTTCTCATTTCGTTTTTTTCCTACGTTTTTTTCCTTTTAACCTATCTTAATTTTTGCAATATTTTACGTTAACGGATTGAATGAATGATTCAGACTTAACCGCTGTGGCCCAGTGGTCGTTAGCCCTTCCAAGTTTATGAAGGAGGTGTGCTTACTCAGTGATTCATTGGCGTGCCTACACAGAAGCTCATCGCAGCGATCCGTCCAAGACAAGCGGTCTGCGAAGCGTAAACTATAACATATAGTTGCAATCTTCACAGGAAGCACCGATACTATCTCTTGAGCCATGAGCTGGATGCAGTTGAATCGTAGGCATCTATTTTTTTTAAAACTCCGAAACATGAAAGTAAGTTCTTTCCGTCATAAAGTTTTCTGTGTGGAGTTTTTTCATAACGAGAAGCCAATTTAGAAAAGTTATCTGGATCACCTTATCTATCGTTTCCAGGTAATCTGAACATATTGTATCTAAACGATATATAATTTCTCCTTCTTTTTATACTAACGAAAAAGAAAAAGGAAATTCAGTGTCGTCATATTTCGTTAGCGTTTCAACGAACGATAACGGGCTGCACTATTTCCATTCGCAAATCGTACTATGGTTATTTATTAATTTAATATTGAAATTTTTATAGCCTCATTAACTAATTGTTCCTACGATTGGATCCATATTCCCGCAGTTAATCTTGGTGCGATACTTACCTACAAAGGAGGACGGCGTCGTCCGTGCTAATTTCTATCCATCGAAGGCGCGTTCTAATAGAATAGGACTTTACAATATGAAATGTGTTTTAAGAGTGTCAGAAATCTAGAGACATTTACATATACTCACTCAATATACATGAACAGTTATAAGTATGCAAAAATAGAGACGTTATCGTGTATTTCCCAGTTTTAATGCCGCAGGACGTTAGCTAAGAGACGTGTTATACTGAGGCGAACAGGGGAAAACACGAACCGCAGTCTTTTGTCGCCTGTCGAAGCACTGGATCAGCGGCGAAGCTGATAGCGGTGTGTCACTGTATACCCGGCAAGAAGATATATTCAATGTTCGATTGAAGTAAAGGATCAAAAAGTGTTTTCAGTTACTCTTTGGTTTCACGCGTTCTGCAGTCCCAGCATAAAACGGAGCTGCTACAGGACGCCACACCCATACTTGTGAATCCGATGGCTAGATAAGGCCAGTTACTTCGGTACACAGGGAGCCACTTTGGGCCTATTTTTGATTGAATTGCTTTCCCGGTCTTAATAGGTCTGCAGGAAGGCACCGTCGCGGCTAGGTCTTATTCGTCGAAGAAGACTGGAAACATTGTCACTCCCAGTCTTTGGTAACGAAAGCCCTAAACATGTATGACACTACATCTCCTAATGCTGTTGTAAAAATAAAACATTGTAGAAAGCTGGTCTATTTTCGAATCTCATAGTCAAACTGTGGTCGTTCATGGGCGATTTCTAGGCAAAGCACGATGTACGACGTGTAATAGTCTCAAAAAAACAGCACACAAACGTCTCATTAGCTGCTACATTTTTATAACACCCATAGCGAAAATGCCCGGAATCCTATGTGTTGCAAGGCTGAGCATGGACAAATGCAGGCTGCTATCAAATATGAAAGATTAATCATAATATTGAAGAAGCAAAAGGCCTTAGGCGTTGAGAAAAAGGCTTCGCATGCGTATTTACGTAAGGAACAACTGAGTAGCCTTGTCTTTGATAGATTCATCAATATATACACACCCTATGCGAACTATAACGCTTAAGAATGACAATGAAAAATTTAAGACAAAAAATAAACATCCTTTATTTAAGCGAGGCAATCAAGCGACAGCTCTCGACTAAAATATCAGACAACTTACAGAGGCGATATACTCAGAGCAGAGTTTTTTTCTATTTTTTAGATCTTTTCTTTAAATAGCCATAAAATAATATAACCTAGCGCTAATTGCTGATATTCACCCTGTGGCAAATATTAAAACAGAAACGTTATATCTGTATGGCCACGAACATGCGATAGGATAAAAAATTAACAGATAGAACACTATACTGGAGTTAGGTGCATTTTACTTTTATAGAAATGCAGCGGCAAATGAATGGAAACTGCCTAAGCTTAAAACATATGCTACGTCTGACCGGAAAATGGAAAGCTTACAGACTATATATACATATATATATATATATATATATAGGATATACGACGAGGAGTACGAAAAAAGTGAAGTTACGCCTTGTAACTTTTCGTACCAATATTAGCCCAAATACACGTTGCGTTAGATGTGAATGACTGCGTGCGTGTAGTTTTTCCCATATCATTTTTAGATCATGAGTGTGTATAATGTATTGCACGGTGACATACTTTCCCACCTTCTCGACTGCTGTATCGGTGAAAGCAATTGTCTAACAAGTTACCTCATAAAACTAGTCATTGCCAGTAACGCTTCATTAATATCCGAATGTATGGCGTAGCTAGTTTAAGGTATCTTGATGAAACCTACAATATTCTCCACCCATTGTGTCCTACCGATCATGCGGAATGTCATGTTGCTATTAATTGTAGCACATAACAATTATCAATTAACAACAACAACAACAACCACAGAACGAGCGAAGCCCGGGCGTGCCTTCGACTCGGCCTTTCAATATTGTAAATGAAAAAAATATATATCTCTCTCAGAAGTAGAACGAGCACCTAACGAAATGAGCATAACATCAACCATTGTGTACAATTCCGAAACGCTAATGATAGTTATACGATAAAGAGAGACGGTGACGACGAGATATTAAGGGTAATAATGATATTAATAATAAATATTTGAATAACATGAACCACTACGGAACGTGTTTTTGATTTTTTCGCAACTTTATTTTGTCTAATTAGGATTTATTTAGAAATGATGAACACACAAAACGTGTTATACACAAAACGATAGTGTGCGCTTGTCGATAGGAATACCCGGGAAATCCGGGCCATACTGGAAAGAAACTAATTTTGAAAAAGTTGTGTAAAAAATACACAATGGTTTGCCTCTACTTAATACTTTAACAGCGGCTCAATATTTCGACAAAAGCTCTCAACGTTTTGCACCGCCGTTAGACATTTCATTAAACGGCTGTTTTCTAGTAAAAAGCAAATTGTGTCTATGCCAGGATTCGAACCTAGACCACAACGTGCGTGCTTCTATGATCAGCAAGAAAATACGTTACCCACTAGAGGGACTTTCTGTTAAGTTCTGTTTAAAAAATTAAAAATAAGTACAGAAATCGAAAAAATGAAAAGGCTTTAGCGAATCAAATTCGAATAGATTCTCTCAGTGTATTGTTACCTGATCATTTACGTTGCTTCCTGTCAAGTTATATTATTATAAAGTAGACATCGAAAAAAACTGGGCTGTCCATCTTTAGATTTCGCAAAGTCTCTACCTAACGATACCCTAGACAGAGCAAGCAGTTACACAAGTTATAATAATTAAGCCGTATAGCTCAGCTGAAGTTACAAACGAAGCCAATAGAAGAGGGTATTAAGGCAGTTGAGAAGCTGGCTAAATCTTGATTTTCGATGGCCATCATTCTGTAATCAATATAATCATATCGAAAGCTTTTTCAACTATAATTTTGCATGGTTCACCTGTAACCCAGACGGCGCAGTGCGAACTTTTTTATCATGAAAAAGTCTTTACTGAACTGTCGCATTCGTATGACTTCTTCTTTTATAAAGGTCTCATTTACATCAGACAACGTATATAACCAGATGTAAAAAAAAAAGAGTAAATATTTTTGTTGACTGAAAAGTAGACGAAATAAATATGTCTATTTCAATACCAGAGTACACTTCCAACCTAAGTACGATACGCCATATACGGAAAGAAGTCAGATCTCAGATAGATTTTCCCTTCTGATATCATCAACAATTTTTTCATTCAAATTCAATAGAAGAACTCAGATCGAAACTGACAGCCATATTCCTAAGACACGCATTGCATCTTCGTTCAACAACGGCATATACCTGTTACCTTTTTGTAGCCCGAATGTTTATTGCCTCAATGACCGCTGAAATTTTTCTGTGTATATTGCAGCCAGTGATTTGTACTCTGAACAATTACGCATATATACAAACATTGCGATCACTTCTTCTACTGTTTTTTTTTTTTTTTTTGTTTTCCGTTCAAACTCTAAACGCGCGTGCATAAATCGCCCTTTGCAAGGCATCACTTTTTCCATTCTTGATACTTTTTGCCTATATTCGATCTTTTACGGTACTCTAGCTATCTCATATGCTACTCCAACCTAAGCTCGGGGTGTAGACACCCTTCCTCGCAGTACTGGACACAGCACAATCAAGCTATCAACAATTCCCACAACAACGTTCCCGTCGCCATGACAAACAGCGTTACCGACAATCGGCCCGATGCCGAACGACAAATAACAAGTCATTCTTTCCACTCTGCTGTACATTGCATTTATATGGCCGTGAAGACACAGAAAAAAACACTGCGTCGAGCGACCCCGTCAGCTGCCCAAGACTCCGTCGCGTAGCGATAACTGTTTTTTTCTTTCATTGCGCCAAGCATTGGACTTGTATAGGTGTTAGATCACAGCCCGCCACCGTGTATCGCGAGCAACTGATTCTGACATAATAGAACAGACGATATCGAAGCGACCTTTTCTAGCAATCGACCGCTGATTTAGTTACCCTTAACTGACATCTAAAAACGACCAGTAAACAGAGCTACATAGCTGAAGCGCGCGGAAAACTGCTGCGAGTTGAAACGATTCGAAAGAGAGAGATGAACGGATAGATACGCACCGAGGCCCCTCTAAGCTGGGCGAGGAGGCTAAGAAAGATCGTAGCTATGTGGGCAGTAGCCTCAGCGACTGCCCACATAGCTACGCGCGCGATAGCGTTTGCAGCAGACTGGCGCGCACAGAATCGACAGAAACGAAGCAGGTAGATCAGAGCAGGGTAGGTAAGACCAGCGAAAGACCAAGTCATTCAAAAATTATCAAGCAGAGATCGTGTCGCTGCTAGCTCCCGCCATAGAAAACAGGTATAAAAGCTGTAGAGATCTTTTCGGTCGCAAGATAATGTTGTTATCGCTGTTATGAAGGACGTTATAACGCCTTAATAGTTGGGTAGGTAGGTGTAATAGCGCAATGGTCCGAGGGAGCCACCTGGCAGTTGGCAACAGAGCTCTACTGGACGAATAACGCTTTTAAATTCGGTAGGGATCAATTCGTGGTCACAACAGCAACAAACCCAACTTCTAACCGTTGGCAGTTTCTGGGTGTTGTTTATGAAGTTGGCTTTCGGTTTGGACCATTTTGTTTGTGTACGCATGGTTTTGCCGTGTTTTTGATTAAGGTTTTACTTTAATCATCATTTTCGTCGATTTTCTCGTGTCTTTTCGGTCTTTTTTTCATTAAAGTTTCGTTCAAATCGAGGGTGTCGCTTGTAGAGCTGAGTAGCTTATCGACGAGTGCGCTGTTTGGTGGTACGCTTAATCCTACTCTGCAACAATTTCGACGACTAACGGCAGCGTCGCTTGAACAGTTTTCAGACTGCCCTTCTCCCAGATGCCTTCGCCCGCCCGCCCGCCCGCCTGCCTGCCTGCCTGCCTGCCTGCCTGCCCGCCCGCCCGCTGTGACTACCATCTGATTTCCTTGCAAACAGATCATTGGTCTCCTTCCCTCTTGGAGACAAGGTACACACACAGGGCTCAGTGTTGAATGCCATACACAAGACAGGCTCCTTAGACAGACACCAATCGTCCCCGCAGACAGTGGAGCAGCAGCAGTAGCGGTACGGACACTACCATTACGAGTGGGCATTAGTAACAGCATAGACGCCGGAGTTCGGGTGCCTGTTTGCCCCTTACCTTCTAGCAGGAGTTGTAACGTAGTCGATCAGGTAACCAGTTGGCGAGCTGTCTAACGAAAGCGTGTATTTCGACTCAACGGTGGAGGTTTAATAGGGATAATTGCTCAACAGTTGTAGCCTCTACGCCGGTAACTCTATTCTGTCTATTTCTGCGCAGTAGTTGCGCCCCTCTGGGTTCGACTCTACCCAGTATCGTAAGGGCCGTCCTGTCATCACAGTGTTATAACTCAAGGTGGAATTAGAGATCTTCTTTCTTAGCTTCGCACAACTCCGCACGCTGGGAGTCTACTGCTACGAGCGCCAGACTGTGGATTATGCACTGTTAAAAGTTAAAGGGGACCTCCAAGTGACGACCGTTTCGTTGAAAAAGGATCCATCAAAAAGGTGGCCTCACGGAAAGCATGTCTATCGTTGTTTCTTATAGATCGATGATCAGTAGAGGACAGGTCTTTTTCGTGTAAACGATCAGTTGGCTCCTTTGAGAGCAAACTATTTTAAAATATCGTCAGTGTATGATTGTGCGGTGTTGCTGACTCTCGATTCGTTGGTGGAACGGTTGGAAGATCATACAAAATTCGGAAGAGTGCTTGTTACGTGAACGAATCTACGGTTTCCTGCAAGTGATAGAATAATTATTGACGAGACGATCGATCAGAAATATATGATATAGCCAAAATGCACCAGGGCGATCCGGGACAAAGTTACTGCAGGGATGCGTGTTCAGGTGAGTCGTTACCGGCGCGCACTGTTCGCCAAATTGTCGTGGGCAACTCAATCCAAGTAAATACCACCTCTAATAGGTACATCTGCGCAATATCAGATTATTTAAAGACAACTGTCAAGCGACATTAGCGGTCCGCTGGACTGATAGACCATTAGATAAATACTATCATATCGCAGCGTTTACGTATATTTTTCATGTCTACCATAGCAATGACACACGTTGTTAACACTGCTCTCGGACACTTATTGTTTCACTTAACTCACTCAGGAGGATCTATTTATATACAAACAAGCAAAATTGCAATTGATACATATTAGTGCTAAGCAGAAAGATCCGCGCATTGCAATACTTAGGGTCATCTGAATCGTTTTTATTCAATAAGGCCCATTGTCGTTAAGATGGCTAAGAGAACGGCTATTTACTCGCTGGCTCTAGCTGGAATCTCGGAGTTATGGCTGTGGATTACGTTTTACTATAGCTAACATGTGGCAAAGCAAAAGCATTGCTTATTACTCAACCAGACAAGCTATTCTTGGCCTTCTTGAGGGTATCTCGTACAAGTAAAAAAGTACAGGTTTTAACAACGGCATGCAATATTGTACTGTTTATAGATGAGGCGAATTTGTCATTCAGTTAGCTGAGATAGTAGGCTGATATAATGGGGTCTGTGGCCTATAACGAAACTGTGGTTGAACGGGAAGCACCAAACGGCAGCTAAACTATCAACGAACCTTAGATATTCTGGGTGCCCCTGTAGCACCCTTTCGTGTCACACCGCCAGGACGGTAAATGATGCCTACATCGGCAATCGTTTGCTGCTTGTAACCTGTATCATATAATTATCAAAAAAATATTAAAAAAAAATGATAATATTAGAAAAAAATAGTCAAAAATACACAGCAGAGACTTTTCCAGAAACATAACAGAGGGCAAAACAAGAGGTGTCAAAATGGAACGAGATACACTCAGCGCTGTCACCTCCGGAGCATAAAAGTGATTCCTTCTTCATATAAGCTAAGATTGCGAATGTACGTATCTTCTATTGCCGGCATTTGACATTTTAATATGACATCTATCATACGACAAACAGATTTTCGTCGTGCATCAGCGAGCATCCTTGCTCTTCACCGGCATCCGGCACTGTCTTCTTCATGTGTGGAATGACTATTAGTAGAAGAATGATTCGTTACTACTGTATAATTCACAACATGGAGCCGATCGCGAGCTGTCGTCATAGTCTTATTGTTTACGATGGATAACAAATGTGCTAAATGAGCACAGTCGACTGTCCTAGCGTGGCATATGTTTCTGTACGATCGATGCTGCAAAATGAGCCTTTGAGACCTCTAAGACCGATGTCGTCTTCGCGCTGCCCCTCACTTCGGATGCACTAGATAAGAGACGCTCACTTCATATATGTGCTATATAAGAGAAATAACGCTTATCAATTGTGTGTCAATTCAATATACTACAAGTCTTTGTGGTGGCTTGAAGAGAGTATCAAACAATGACTAATTTTAGCTACAGAAAAATTGTTGCTTGACCTAACCATGCTTTTATACTTTTGTGTTGCGTCTCTAGTTGCGTAATCTCCATTTATGCATATGGTGCCGATGATTACATAGATATGAGAGTCAAGCGTTTGCGGTTGAATGAATAACGTTAACTATTTTAGTTTTTTTTTTTCTAAAATTTAATAAGACGAGCCATTGCTTATAAATCTAACACTAAACGACCTCTAGTTCTAGTGCTCTAGGCACCTGTACAATCGTGGTTGACGCATGAACCATGAGCTTTACGAATATCATGCGTGTATTTGCTACTGGTTACGTTGCTCCAACGTCGAGGTTCTGGACTACCTTGTAAATTTCGGGTGGCGCAGGATATGAAGATCTATTCTGGAATACTGATTTGACACATCGTCGCTGAAGTAAACCCGGTCGTTTCTTGCTTCTCGGAGCGAAATTGTTAATATTACTTGGACGAAAGCAATGCAGTGATGCGTTACCTGGATATGGTTGTTGTGTGTCCCTGTACAGGTTGTATCTTGTTTTACATCTTAGTAGGATAATGAAGTAAAAAGTTCACCGACGTATTGTTGTACAGGCGGGATGAACGCTTCTGGATGAACGGTTTGCCTCCTCTTGTGTTACGCTTCTGAGTGTGGCACAGAAGTGCTGTTAATCCCTGCAAACGTAGCCGAGTGTGTATTGTGTGAGTCCAGCCGGAGGTGAATGAGAGGCATTATCGTTCGTAAAATTTAACGGTGTTAACTTGACGATTTTGCTGAGGTTTTGTGGGGTCATGAAAACCCGTCCTATGTGCTCCACCCAATTGCACAGACTGAAATATAGTTGTAGTGACAATAGCGATGTAGTTATGCCTTATGAAGACGGCATCGATGGCGAGGTGTCTACGTGCCCGATACAAAATTTGTTCGAATCACAGAACGGGGATCGATTCTGGTACGTAAATCGTAACCTGTATCAAAACAAATACTGTTAGTGCAAAGTAACATCACATCGTGAGTTTTGGGTTTTCAAAGCTTGTATTTATTTCACTATATTTGCTTAGTGTGTGACTTTTTTCGAGGACGTAATGCAACTAGACTATTGCACCTCTACGTTTCGAGTTTTACGTCCGATCGCACCTTCAGGCCGGTTCACAGCGCGAAACAAATTCTGTCTGTCTATGCCCTATGGGTTCGAACATAGACCGTAACGTATTTCTAATATTAGCAGGCTACGTGGGGACCGGCTATTATACCTAACGGTTACATTATCTTGAATAGGTATGCGTATGGGGATAATGACAAAGCCGTCTCGGTTCCAATAATAAAACTTCCATAGAGAAAAGGTGTTAGCTATAGGAATGATTGTACCTTCTCGTTTGGCTGCTCATAGGGATACGTTGTCCGTGCGTGAATATAATAGTTCTACTACGTAGTCCGATCTAGTTTAAAGAGCCTCTAGCGCTCGCTGAATCCAGCTACTAAACTCTTAAAGACGATGAACGTAGAAGACGCTTTCGACAAAGAATGATCAAGGCCTTTTGGCTCATTCAAGCGTTGATAGGTATCCTTCTGTGAACATGGTAGTAGGCCGCGCTAGGCTATTTTTTTTCCAAATCTCTTTGCCGTTCCTCGTTGCCACCGTGTATTCTGCGTGATGGTCAGTGTTGATAAGCGGTCGATGGCTGAAAAGCCGCACAAGAACATGTCGATATCTTAACAAAATGTTTTGCTAACAGGTTTTGATTCGTTTGACTTGAATGGCCTTATCTTTCGTCTTCTTCAAGGGAGATTTAGAGATCTTCACTTTCTTTATTATGGATTGAAGGCGCCAAGGCGCACCAGTATGTGTGCTCTCAAGGAAAAGCGTTATCCATTGTTCCGATTGACTCGTTTGTTATCACATGCGCATACGGTGTGAGTTCCTTAAATCAAAATAATTTAGCATTATAATCTTCTGTGAAAAAGCTAAATGAAGACTAACAACAAGGGATACACTGGTTCAATACAGAATATCCAGCTTGTGTTCTGTAAGCCTAAAATATAAGTTGCTCAATTGTACTTGGAACTGTCATTCTATTAGTAATTCAAGTTAGAAGTTTGCTTTGCGAGCTACATATTGTTTCCCTACTAGCGGCAATGTGCACCTAATTTGCTGCACACGTAAAATTCATTCATCTTCCTAAAACAAGAATAAAGTTTTTAAGTTAGTTAAAGAGCCGCTCAGCCAACTGACCTGTTTCTGATCGAAACCAAAGCGCTAAATGCTATCGTGGCAATGTCTGCAGGACTTTTAGCCCCTCTATCTGTAGAACTTAACTCTGCTCATATATATATATATATATATGTCCATTCATTACCGACTCTGAATCGGCTATTCTGTGGGAATAGAAATAGCTTGTGAAGTCACCTCTTTACTGAGTTCGGCAAGGACGAAGGACAATTAACAGGCCGCAATCAAGCCTATTTGCGTCCTGCGCCTGTTCTTTCAACGTTTATGCCATCTCGGTACGCCTTAATTACGTAGGTTCCCTATTTGTGATCAGTTATATACGGCAGGCTGTTTTTAGTACTGTGTGTTTTTACGATTGCGTACTTCTTACGCACCTATAAAATTTAACTGCACGAGACATTTGTGCCTATGGTAACGGTCAAATATCGAAGTCTGCTTTAACAGGCGATATATAATAATCGCGATATATGCTTAACTTGGGTACCGGGCAGTACCCAATGATTGAAGTTCAATTTCGAATTTGACATTGATAAGTAATCGCGTTAATTACAAATTGCAACTGTTAGATAAGAACTTTCCTCGCGCGTGCGGCACAAGTTGCAGGTTGAAGGTAGCTCGTGTCAACTATAGGGTAGAAGATGCTTCTAATCGGGGTTTCGTTTACCCAACGTTTATGTCAATAGTATTTATGTGCCCAGTTAATGAAATAATTTGTAGGTTTATTAATAGGCTCATAGAGGCTTGCTTTAAACACTGCTCTTATCTTTCATTTCTAGTACCAACAACGTGGTACTGGTTTCGTGATCATTGTTATTGTTGTTGTTGCTGCCTTTTTTCATCGTCGTCAGGAAACGCAACAAAAGATTTATTTAGTGCTAATTTTTTCCAAACACATGTGCCATTTCAACTATGTGCGCCATCATAGCAGACGCAGGTGTGTCTGGCCTGATAGAGAGACTATTACTGAGTTTCCAACGTTTTTTCACCGTCGAATAGCTCAATAGCGGTGACGCCGATATCGTGCTGCCCCAACGCCCAATACTTAGACTGGCCTGTATTCGCTGGTAGGCTGATGATGCGAATTCGGAAATTGGCCAAGCTCATATTCACAGCCCACCTATTTTAGATTTCGCTACGTCGCTCATATTTTTCATTCACCGTTTCCTACTTGAGGAAGCTTAAATATATGAGCGCTAGTGATAGCGAGCTAGCACAAACAGGAGTTCCTGCGGATTTCTGAAACGTTCTCATCAGTATGGCCCTTTCTTTTTCTAGAGACTTTTCAAGCAACTGTTTCTTTTTACTATAAAATAGTAATCATAATAGTAATGCCACGTTCGGCCGATAAGTCACTCTAGGAAAAATAGACGGATAGATATTTCTGCTTGATGCAAGAACTTCTGCATTTGGGACTGGTTTTCCTTAGTTGGACAGAGCTTTCTATTCAGTAGCGGATGACAGGAACCTGGTACACTGTTTTTGGCACTCAAGGCGCCGATACAAGAAATTCACCTTCGCCTTAACTTAAATGCGGAGTACTAACTAGCACAACTTTCTGGATATCTCCGATTGTTATTAACGAATTACGCATAGGAGCATGGGGAAAGTAGCTCGTGCACTTGCTGAAGTGTTGGTCAAGTTATTAACCCTGCGGGTACGATTGCATATGGCGTCAAATCAACGCCATTAGCTGACCAAATCGAGATAAGTTGTGATTTTAGGGAAAATCTGAAGTTTGTGTGAAGCCGGTGACACAAGCAAACTTCTTTTTTTCAAAAAAGCAAGCAACTTTTATATGTAGGAAGTGTGTCGATAGGTTACCGAAAAGGTTAATGGAACCATCATTGAAGTTTTTGCGGAATTGAAACACTGTTAATCTATTTTCTATATAATATAAATAATAATTAAACTATTTCACTACACATTTCTTCTTAAACATCATTGATTGTGTGTACCTATCATCATTCTGAAACATATTGTTTCATAGATCAATTTTTCGCCGGCTACAGTTTTGTCTAGGCATCTAATCTTCTTTACTTTTTGCTTATTGTGATTTCGTTCTGAGGCATCTCCCTGCCTTGATAAACCATATTGTTCAGCTGTTTTTGTCATGGTGATATCACTTAAACGTACATTTATATGTATTATTACTATTATTATTTATGCACCATGGTACGCTTGCTAATAGCGGCGATGGGAATATGATAGCATTTTTCTCATGGTTTGTTTCTATCAACAACAAAATTAGATGCTTCAACGAACGTTTCTATACAAACACCATTCAGCGCGATTATAGCTTCAATTCGGAGAGCTGTTCATTATTAGTTTTGAAAATATTTCTTTCTTAATTCACAAGTATTATTTTCATCAAGCGATATTTGGTGGGCATGAGCTCGTTAGTCTTATGCTAGTAGCAGGCTAAGAGTCCTAAAAATGCAAAGACCTAATACAGCTAAAACGCTTTAAGACTGCAAAAAGGCACGAAATATTAACCGATAGAGATAGATTGCCGATTAATATTTTCTTGTTTCGTAACGAAAGTTCATTTCTAATATATATTAGGGTATATAAAAAGTTTTTTTGAGCCTTTTCGATGAATTTATGACGAATCTATATCTCATTCAGGATTTTCTGGTCTGTTTCGTAAGTCTTTTTCAGAAGCCACATGAGAGCCAGCAGTAACTTAAACTGTCGATTCTGATAGAGAAAAAAAAAAAAGAAGAGGCTCTTAATTTCGGAGGAGGTCTGTCTAGCCCGGATGCTGATCTTCGCTTAAATTTCGAAAATAACGCACTATTGTTGGCCATGATGAGTTCATTTGTTTGTTCAGGGAAAACTGGATCTCATCTGATACCAGCAGCAGTGGCTGGACGCACAACAAGCAATCCATTAAAGTTTTTCCCAATTTAGACGCACCACCCTCTTTATATGTATATTTATAAAAAGGAATAGATGCGTAACAGCGTTTGTGTTGAGCTTCGTTATCATACAATTCTATAATTCATGCAATTCTATAATCTATTTACTGGTATACGCTGTTTCTATAATGATGATGATCGAAATTAGTGAACTACTAATAAGTAACACTCAACCTTTGGCTCTATTACGGTGTATTTAATCTAACTTAACAGTGTCACACTGAGGTACTCTGTTTCAACATTCACTTAGTCTGTTCTGAGACTTCTCTAATTGAATCACCTATTATAATTTTGAGCAGGAAATTTACTTTAAAACATTGGGCTTGCCTGATATTGAACATAAAAATAAAGTAAAAAAAAAAAACACTATTCGAGGGCTATCCGCGGTATATGGTAAAAGTAAATTCTTATCAGGACAGAAAATCAGTGCACATATTCACCGCAGGTAGCTTAGCTCATCTCCTGTGGTCTTTAGAAGGGAAAGCCTCCATAATATGGAGAAACGTTAAAAAAAAAACGCGCATCTCTGTTGACGAAGCTGACTTATTACCATACGATCATTAGTTGCGACTGGTGACCTGCAAATTTCCCAGAAGGTCTTAGCATCATGCTGACATACAAAATGGCGAGCGGCTACAGGAGTATGTCGATTGGAAAAAGCTGAAAAAGTAATAATAATGCGGCAATTCTATTATACGCTCGGCGTCCATTCCTATTTGACATTCGGTAGTTGTGCAAGCGAACTAATCTTCATAACTAGCATGCTTTGTGTTTTGTATCAGCGCTAGCTTTTTGCTATGCCGTACTTCAATCCGACTAGAACTATATTACCGTTATTGAAAATTTCACAATATAATATCCGTCGTACTGTCGCTGCATTATTGTTACAGTGACTTTAACTCTTAAGAATAACAACTATTTTACGCATTTCCCCAGACGGCCGATATAAATTGGGAACATGGCTCTAATAAACTGGGCTTTCGTCTGACTGACGAAACCGGAACTCAGTGAGCTAGCTGATCAAAGAAGAAAATCAACGGTCAGTCGGATGAAAGTGGCCATTGGACCTGGGTCTGTTCATCGCTTGGGTTGCAAGCACTATTGGCCACACAATCATCTGGGTACACTGTACCATTACATTGTAGAGCAGACCAAAGACGGTCTTTCTCGATTTGCTGCTGGTTGTCGTCTACCTGGGCGACGACTAGGGTCGACCACTCGGCCTCATCAGTCAGCTCGTACACTTTGCAAGACCATCAAGTGCCTCGCTCTAGTTCGACCTAGCGAACTATCTACCCGACTCTGAAGCATAAATGCACTCAAGATGTCGAAAGTGCAAGAAAACAACGTCGCATTGCAGTAGCGACCGCTACTGTAGCTGCGATTCGACCCTACGAATCGTGAATTTCTACGAAGTGGAAGACCTTTATTAGAGGTCTTCTTTTGGAGAATAGCTTAGACCTCTGGGAGACTTCTGCTAACAACAGTGATGACATCGTCCTCTGTTAATTACGGGAAAATTAATAGGATGAATACTTATGATGAATAAGTAATAGAATGTCTGTGACATCATTTCCTCCAATATGATCGATCATGCAAATGAATCGACCATTATCGAATCGAGTTATCGCAATAAGGGTTGGAAAGCAGAAGCTGAAATAATCTACTGTATCGTAAACAATAGTCAATGTTATTATAGGTCGGTTCAAATGAATCTGTAAACTTCAACGAGAACTTCAGCTTAACATATGTTTAGTTTTACGTTTTATACATGTAAGCAGTTCGCCTATGGAAATTGTTCCAAGAAAAGTGTGGATCGAAAAAGATATGCCTAATGAACCAGGGGAGTGTATCGGCGAAGTAGAGGGAAGCTCAAGTGTGGTTCTAGATAGGCAGATTAATTGTGATTGTTCAAGTTGACAGAGGAACGTTTCTAATACTGCATTGAGTAACTTGTTTGGTGTATGCCAGCAAACGTTTGAAGTTTTACTTGTCCTTGTGGTAAAGTTTAGCCTTTGCCTGATCGATAGCCGCAACAACAAACGAGCAGCTAGATATCATCAAAAACCCTCGGACATAATTGCAAAATGTACCGTGATAATAATTTTGTAGAATTAGATTATGTCTAGTATTAAGATTTACGAAAAAGAAAGGGATTTTGTATCGATGCGGAAGAAGTCTCTTCGGGGAGGAAGCTCAATGAAATTGTTACTATAGACGATCGGGCTCGAATCGTCCAATTACTAATTTGTTCCTCTGCCAACAGCCAACTTTAGACCATTGCTCAGTAATATAATTTTTTAAAGATGTTACCAGAAACGAACGATACGACAGGAACACATTATCAAATATCATCCGAGTGTGTAAAAACCGAACGCTTTACAAATACGCCGTTTTAAATAGAGTCTAGGTATTTTCAAAAGCAGAACAAGTAAAGTCATTGCAATTAATAACATCTTCGAGTAACAGTACGAGATACGTGTGCGATCGCCTTGTTTCTTCACGAAGTCATGATGGTCAGTAGAATTTTAATTACACAAGTGCGATTAAAGGCATACAATAGGACCGCTTATCACTTCCTTTTTTTTCGCCCAGACTGTCCGGGTACCCTTAGAATCGGTCAAAAACGGTCTTTCTTTTTTATTGCCTCGGTCATACATACAACAAAAATTCACTCATCAGTGGCACCTATATTGGTCGAAGCGCAAATCACAACCTATCTAGAATTAACTTCATTTCGAGTTACACAGGAATCGATTTAGACTACGCCAATACACGCTCAAATGTGACCGGTAGTGAAAAGATGCTCATGACCCTAAAACAGTCTAGTCTCTGTATATGTGGCATTTTTAGATCCTGTGGCAACCGGTGTTGTTGCGGCCGCGGGCAGCTGTCATCATCCAGATGGATCACAGGATGAGGCCGGAAAACGAGTGGTCGAAACTCTTGGCTGGGCAGGTTACTTGGGTGGATACTATGGAGCGATGGCGGCTACTGGCGTTGCGGGCCTCGTCATGAGCTACCTCTGTTCGAATTCAAGTCCAGTTATTCCGCCCATTTCGCAGGACAATCAATCCAGGTCAGGGTGGCAGAAGTATAGGGGAAGACTCGACAAGCGAAAGATCCATTGAAAGTAATGTCTAGTACTCAGTGGTATTCTGAAGGGAAAGTCATTTGCAAACATTTGGTGGAGCTGCCTATTATGAATAGGTTCAGCAGTCAATGTGTGATGAAAGCATCTTATCTTCTCCTCCTAGCTATTATTGCGGGCTGTAAAACTCATCTTGCGTTATTATCCAGCTTCACTTGAATCACTAGACACATACCTGTGTAGCCAACCAGTTACTATAAATAGTGTCCTTTCTCAAAATATTTCCATGAATTTTAATTTCGCAGGGAGATGGTTGGTCTTGGCGAAAAGGTGCGCACATCGCGACTGCTGCCTCCTGGCAAGTTCATGGAATATCTATACGAGGACGCGCAGACGCTATTCGATGTGATGTACCGCGGCGCGAGGGTGTCGAATAATGGCCGCTGCATGGCCTGGCGTGAACCTGGGGCAAAGGAATACTCCTATATTCATTATAACCAAGCCTTGGAGCGGATTCGAAACTTCGCGTGCGGTCAGGCCACCCTCGGCTCAACGCCCGGACAAAAAACATTCATCGGTGTGTTTATGCAGAACTGCGTCGAGGCCATCGTCGCCGAACAGGCGTGCTACTACCTATCACAGATTGTCGTACCGCTTTACGACACGTTAGGTACGGCAGCCGTGACCTTCATTATCAACCAGGCGTCGATCGAGGTGGTCGTTTGCGACACGCCCGAAAAAGTCCAACTTCTTCTCAAAGAAGGTAGCAAATGCCCACAGATGAAACGTGTTGTGCACACGAAAGAGGTCTCAGACTCGGTCCATGAGCTTGCCAAAGAGATCGGCGTTGAACTAATCTCGTTCGGCGAAATTGAACGATTGGGCGAGAAGCACTTTCGTCATCCGTTGCCACCAAATCGCAATGAAATCGCCACAGTTTGCTACACATCAGGCACAACCGGTAACCCGAAGGGTGTAATGCTTTCCCACAAGAACATCATTGCCTGTCTGTCATCGGTAATGTTCCAGCTGGTAGGTAGCGGCATGCCTTTGTTTTTCTTAGTTAAACCTTTTCTATGGTTATAGCACATTCTTATCGGTATTTTACGTAACGAATGGTAGAAAGGTTCAACAGACATTATTAGAGCATACAAAAGAGACAAGTGTTGATGTTGGTGGAATAACTCGCGGTTACTTTTTTTTTTTCGATCCCTTCTGCTCGTTGTCTAGGGAGAGGTAGCTCCAATGAAAGATGACGTAATGATTTCTTTCCTGCCATTAGCGCACATGCTGGAACGCTGCTGCGAGATGGCTCTTTACATGGTTGGAGGATGTGTCGGTTTTTTTAGCGGAGACATTCGAGGCCTTGTGGATGATATGCGAGCCCTTCGTCCTACGATTTCACCTACTGTACCTCGGCTACTGAACAGAGTCCATGATCGAGTGGAACAGGTAATGTAAAGACGTCAGCACACTGGGGCTGATCGAGCGTAAAACGTTCACCTTATTAGCTCATAGCAGGTTAGGTAGCCGATACCAGCTAGTCGATAGCTGGTTTCCAAAGAGTAAGCTAATACCGAAAAAGGTTTTGCCCCCGAAATGCAGTGTTCTTAACGCTACTCAACGTTTGTTTCTACTTTAGCGCATACTGACAAATACTACGCCGCTATATTTTGCCCACAGGTCGCCCAGAACAGTGTATGGAAACGTGCACTGCTCGCTCTGGCACTCAAAAGCAAGGAGTCTGAGATCAAGAAGTTTGTGATACGTCGAAATTCCATATGGGATAAGATCGTATTTAAAGTACGTCGTTTTCGTCTATTATATAGCTGATACGTATTGTACGGTTCATGTCGGCGTATGAATTTTCATTTCATTGCCTTGGTAATAGCGGTATCTGAGAAGAGTACAGTCGAGCTAAGCTTGTCATTTTAATGGGATAGGGCTTTCTATTTCAAACTTAATTGGTATCTAAATTGAATAAACTATAACTCTGTCGCTACTGTTTTATGGCAGTCTAAGCCCCAAACACGAAAAACTTCGTCACACGAAAATTGACCTCATTTGATCGAAGCCTATTTGCAACGTATCAGGAAACTGCGCATTGTAAGACCTACTCACCTTTCTACCTCGCTTTTGACGCCGATATAAAACATAATCTTGATTTACCTATTCAGCTAAAATATTTTTCTTTGAAAACAAAAAATCAGTGTACACATTGATTGCCTGGTCTGGTCTGGTTAAGTGGTCAAGAAAAAAAACCCTGTACATACTTTTATAACAGAATGTTAAGGTGTGCATGTATTTTTCCCTAATCTGCTGCAGGCAGTTCAAGAAGGATTTGGTGGACGGCTGCGTTTGATGGTTGTAGGCTCCGCGCCTTTGGCCACGAACGTCATCAATCTTGTACGTTGCGCCCTAGGTGCCGTCATCGTTGAGGGTTACGGTCAAACCGAGTGCACGGCGCCATGCACAATGACATTCCCTGGTGACTATGAAGCCGGCCACGTTGGTCCACCTATTGCGGCCTGCGCCATCAAATTAGTTGATGTTGCTGAAATGGAATACTATGCCTGTAACGGCGAAGGCGAAATCTGTGTTAAGGGACCAACCGTCTTCCAGGTAAGTTTTCCAGTCACCGGCGTGATGTGGTTTGTGCTTTTGCTAGATTATCAGGCTTCGCTCGCACATTAAGCACGGCATTTTTGGTTATTGTGCACATATACCCACATGTACGTGTGTATAGATACATATATATATTATATATATATATATTTGAAGCATACATTCATGTATGGTTTTTAAGTAGATCAAACCTCATCTTCTAGATATCGACACACATAAGGTGCTACTAATTTAATTAAATACAAGGAAAAATGAACGGGTGAACACATGAAGTGGGATATTACCTGCTATTTATAATACGATTTTTGATGGTTGTTTGGTGGCTTATTTGGGTTGATTGTCTTAATAAAAATGAGGATCTTCTCAGCCTTCCCGAAAGGGGCTAAAGCTATTTCGTTTTAGTGCTCCCAATATGGAAGAAAAAAGCGAGCTTCATTCGACATTGTGTATGGAAAACAATATCCTTTTTGGGACCGCTTAGATAATTTGATCCTTTTTTTTTTTTACTTGCTTTCTTTGTTTCATAACATAATTTCTGTGTCCGTCTTCTGTCAGGGGTACCTGAACGATCAGGAAAAAACGGACGAAGTTCTCGATACCAACGGTTGGCTTCACACAGGTGACATCGGAAAGTGGATGGAGAACGGGACCCTCAAGGTTATCGATCGTAAGAAGCACATCTTCAAATTGTCGCAGGGCGAGTACATTGCGCCAGAGAAGCTAGAGAATATCTTCATTCGGTCGCCGTTCGTGGCACAGATTTTTGTACATGGCGAGAGTCTTAAGTCTTGCTTAATTGGCGTTGTCGTACCGGACGACCAGTACCTACTTTTGTGGGCTGCAGAGAACAGAATTGCTGGTACGTTTGCTGAGCTGTGTGCCAATCGCGTTGTGAAGAAATCAATCCTCGACGATCTATGCGTACTCGGCAAAAAGTCGGGGCTGAAAAGTTTTGAATTGCTCAAAGATATTCTCTGTCATCCCGAGATGTTCAGCATCGATAATGGCTTGCTAACGCCAACACTAAAGACGAAACGGCCCGAATGCCGGAAGGCGTTCGCTGAACAGATTCAAGAGATGTATCGTTTACTACAGTAAATTGTCTCGTGTGAGGTAGTTTTGTCACAGGAGCAGTTTTTTTCAGCGTTATTTGATGACATTTAGTTATCATCGACAACGATAATGATGACCGTTGCAGTTATCGTTATAGTAGTAGTACGGCATTGACTTCATCTGCTGATGTCCTCGTTCGTTTGAGTCGTTTGCGCATGCCTCTAATTGACAAAATTGGGGTAATAGACATTTTAAGCGCGGGACGTAGGTTAAATGGAACTTGGCACGACGTTATATAGAGGACGAAAATATCGATGACGATAACTGTACTTATATACAATTATCTATAGTAGTAGTGGAAGAAACTTATTACTAGCGTATTAAGAAGCTTATGGCTATAATCAATGTACTTTTGAATGTAGAATCTCGCTGAACTAGCGTGAGTGGCGGTCATAGAATCGTATCGGCGAACAAAACGACCACCTATTGTATAAATAACTATTAAGCGCAGAAGTATTCGATGCGCCGAGTGCTTTAATCCGTGAAACATTTTTTCATCCCGTTTAAGACGAGCGTCTTCTTTAGCACATTCCTAAACCCAATCATCCGTTTGAAGAACATTTACTGGTTTTTTTTTTGCTTTCCCTGTCGAGTAAAATGCTAAAATGACTTGCGTTAAAACAAGCACGATAATTAAAAAATAAAATCGCGATTAAGTAACTGCGCGTTGTTATATTCCTCGCCTACCTGCATGTAAAGTTTGTAAATGAGATATGATCTTGAGAGCGTCACACTCATCGTGTCGATGTTGTTGTTAAACCCTGAAACACGTGGAACCATTGACTAACTACAAGATGAGGTTTTGATACACGAAGTGAAATTATTACGAACAAAATGCATTGGTTTGTCGATGGGATTCTTGGAATTTCATCCTCTGATATGGTGCCATCAGGCCAAGAATGCTGAGCTACCGAACTGTGGTCCTAGTGGATGGGTAAGGGCTTGCGAGCGTTCTGGGCATTGAAGTCTAAATAAGACTGAAAAAATCGTAGTAGAGACGCTAAGGTCAAACGACTCCTGAAAGCACAAGTAAAAATCTATTTGTATGGTTCTTGTGTGTCAAATCGTACAACAAGCTCGATAAGTAAACAATCCTATCCGATGCTGTAGCGCTGATGTTCAAACCCTCAGTTACAGTGGTCGCCTATCGCGTTTTTTCTTTTCGTTGTATTTCTAGATAGTAATAATTAGCAGCGTTGGGCGCAATGGTCAAGTATTTTTTATCAACTTCAGCTTGAGCAGGGGGCTTCGAGGGGTTCGTGGCCACTAAAAATACAGCGGCAGAATGTAGGACTTGTTGAACGGCCATGTTAGACAGGTTCGCTTTTTATGATATCAGATGATTTGTGTCCTACGAAAAAAAGTTAGCTAGTTGAGGTTTCACAGCTTAATTGAAACGCGAAGAATATTACAACAGCGATGTAAATCGTCGTATAATGTTGAAAGTTGCAAAATGCTTTTCTCATTGGGTCAGTATAATAAGACAATTCCTATAAATGGCGATGTGACGATATAAAAAATACATAAGCCTTAGCTTCTCACTAAATCATAGTATAAGTAAGTTATCGTCGTTGGGTTGAATAGGTCAATAGGTTGTCAGTACAATCTAATCTCGAGTCAGCCTTACCTTCGCCACGGCGAGACCGCACTGAATCTATGACAACCAATGGCAACGCCAAGATCCGCATATTGACTCGCGCTTTTATGATGCTAACCTCTGAAAGGAAAGGAAAAGGAATCACACACGAAACCGATGTAACTCAACCCAACGTTTTTTTTTTTGTCAAACGGGTCTACTACGCCATTCAAAAGAACCACGACTGGTCTTAACATGTCACAATGGCGCAAGTTATGGTGACAAAGAGCACGATCTAACTCCTCGTAATGAAATCAAATGAAACAAGGGCGTTTTGATTGATTGGTCTTCCAAGATTTCGGTTAGCTACGCTTCAGCAACCTCTTTGTCTCTGTCCAGAAATCGTCGGTTTCGAAACTCGAGTTCTCTAGCCTTGTTGATTCCAAAATTGTTAACTAGGCTAAAACAAGTAAACAAATATCTTAGTTCTTAGAGAGGGAAAGAGACTTTACGACAACAATAGCAACAACAAACATAAAACACTAATAAAATAAACAAAATAGTAATAATGTTGATAACAATTGACTAACTCTGGCTAAGGAAAGGTAGCGTCGAACAGATAGGGTAAACAGATTTAATATGACCTCGACCTCCAGGAACAGCAAAAGCTCAATATATTCTAACGTTTCTTTATATTCATTGAGACTTCGTACAAAGGAGACAGTTCAATTGTGTGTAGAGACCGAAGGTCAAAAAGCAGTAAGAGTTGATCATTATATCAGGTGAAGCCGACTAAGCTTGTAGATAACTTGGAGGAGGGTCTTTCTCCATTTTATGATAGTGAGCTAGTAATATTAAGGGTAGAACAAACTGTAATAATAATAACAACAACGCGATGATAATAAAAACTAAATAGTACGTACCGAAATCAATCGTGAAGAAAGTAGGCGTTCTTCTGTTAGCATGTAGTTGATTATGTCAAGGACAGCAGCGTTGGAGAAAGAGGACGACATCTAGTAGAAATAAGCCACATCTTTATCTAATGGAAAACAACACATGTATGATTCGAAATAACACAATAGCACTTTATTGAGAATATTAAATAGATAGTAATTCTCCAACCCACATAGGGAAAGTGTTGACAGTTTATAATCACTTTATATTTTATAATAAGTTACATCATATATTGCTATTAAATGTATTTTTCAAGGTGCCTGCACCGAGTACACCGCAAAGATGATTATTCTGTTAATGTTTTTGTATTTGTTTTTCGCTCACGCACACAATTATGCTGCTTATAGTTAATGTGTTAGTCAACTTTTGATCTATCAGTGGGTGGCTATCAGTTCACTGAGTAGCTGAATTTTAATTTAAAAAAAACAAACGTGAAAACGAACCAAATACTCTTCATCTACGAATAAATGTCATCGTTGCAAATGGCAACATTTTCAATATATCGTTTTTTATTTTCTTTTCATTTTATTGACATGCACGTCGCTATAAAAAAAAAAATTGTTATTTATTATTGATGATAGCGTAGCCTTTTAAAAATTTAAATCACTAGTGAATCATTAGTGTGAAACTCGCAAAGGATTTAGATGATATGGAAACTTCAATAATGTGCTCCACTCATTTTTTCACGTATTTTTTAACTGATTTTTTGTCAGTATGCTTAATTTGTTTACATTTACTACTGGTAATTCGCATGGTTTGAAGGAATATACGATTTAATATTGTGTTCAATGGCACTCTACACTCAGTTTCATTGTTTTCTTTGTAAAAGGCAAAAAAAATTTGTCAAAATTCCTAAAATATTACTCTTAAGTCGAGAAGTGAATACGACAACGGTATAGGGGAGAAATAGGGGAACCATTACAAAAAGTAACTCTAAGAAAAGTAATTCTAAGATAGGTTTATCAGTGGTATATTAAACAAATTTTATCCATTCGTGCTCATTCCAACCAAAGTTTGGGCCCTTTATTCCATGGGCCACGGTACAGGAAGATGTCGCTTGATTATCTACAGGGCACTCTTGGATTAGCATGACTGGATCACCTGATAAGCTGAAGATTCAGCCTTTTCTACGCAGCTAGCTAAACAACACGCTCGTTTCCAATCAAGCTTTACTTATTCCTATTTGCTAGTGTTAGTCAAAAGCTTCTTAAAAAATTTCACAGATATAGGTCTACAACACAGTATCACCATATCTGGGAGGATATATAGAACCATGTAAAATAGTCTGCATCACACGAATTTTGTTGAATTCATAAAACTAATTTGAGACCTTTGCCAAGTGGACTGTAGGGATGGTACTAGGGGTTAACGAGCGACGTCTATCATAATTTTTCCCACATCTGAAGCGCCTACATATATCTCCATGCTAGAACTCATGCAGGGCAAAGCCAATGATGGCATGGAGTCTGTTGAACTTGTATGTCCCTTTCCACCCATCGCTCTCCATCACTCTCCAAACAAACGTATCTCTATCGATCTCCGATAATTTTTTAAGGATTCAATTTGAAGGTCTCCGTTTCTAGGAGCTCAAAGCAACAGGGAATGTTCTCTGACAGCACCGGCGAATCGGCCGAAAAATACACGGTTTCGAATCGCCATTAATAGCGTAATGCCAGTGCTCTTTTCGCAAAAGAGCCTTCGATGCGATTTCATTAGTACAGTAACATCTTCGAAAATTATGCGTATCTCATACATTACAGTTGGAGCAACTTTGAAGGCGGATGAGCTGCAAAGGGTTGTGAAGGACAAGCAATGAAGCGATTTGGTTGCCACCAGCACCACCTTCATATATCTTCCAGTGAAGTGTTTAGTGAAACTTCTGCGATTCGCTAAGAACAACAGTCCCAAGAATGATGAGCAGTTTCACTCGGTAAGAGGCGCCCCGGCAAAATACAAGACCCTGTCCTGCTTCCGCTTCTGAACTTCATCACCTTTGTCTTGGTCAGATTTATGGTTAGTCCCAAAGCTGTTGCCCCCGCGTCGGGCAAGGCTAAAGCTTGCTGCAGTTGGAACCTGTTCGACCCGTATATCACTAAGTCGTCGGCGTACAAGATGACTCTGGCTGATTATCTCTGCCCCCTTATTTGATGAGAGATGCCCTTCAGCAGGACGGAAAGTATGACCGGACACACGTTGTCTCTTTAAGCCAGGCATGTTGTCGTGTGAAAGGCGGAAGTTCATTCGCTTCCTAATCGATGGTTGTTCTGTTCTTCTGTAAAATCACAGCAAGAAGATCTACAAGGACGTTCACTTTGGGCCAGCCAGAGCATAACCTTGTCCTTGGGCGTCTGGTCGAAAGCCGTTTCGATGTGGAGGAACAGCGCGTATAGCGATTTGCATGGCGGGGCCAGTGCGCCAGGATTCTGCACGCCCTTTCTGTGGAGCATTCTCTCAAGAACCCATGCAGCTCTGTCGGGATGACGCGTACGCTTTCTAAGTAACTCTTTAGTCTCTCAGTCAACATGTCGGGGAGCAGTTCATAGCAGATACTTTTCTTCGCTTCTCCCCGCATGGGTCGCTCCTTCCTTTGGGGACCTCTAACAGGGTAGTATTTTTCCACTGAGCTGAAGATATCCCAGTACGTAAGCATTGGTTAACCAGTGTCATTCAACGAGGCGCCGGAACGACGGCACATTTGGGGTGTTCGTTGCAAACCCTGTCTGGATCAGTAACTTTCCTATTGCGTAAGCTCTCATGACCTTGTATTAGTTCCCACACTGTGAAAGAAAGATATTACGTCGTATTGAGGTATCTTTTCCCACGTTGAGACACATGGTGTTGTCTCAAATTACCTTTTCGTACCCAAGGAAGTTGCAATATAGGAATATTTTGTTCGCAGTGAGGAAATCTTTTTAGTTTCTAGCTGGACCGCTGTCCGTTCAGATCCTGGAGTTCGTACAATCTGGTTAAACTCAGTTCGTATAAGCTATTAGGGCGTTGGCATCTACCGAATTTGTCTAGTTTATTTGTCGCACACAGAATTCACTAATGACTTGATGATTCAGTAAAAACTAGTCAAAGAAGAATAACGATGTATTGTTACAAGTACTTTATGCCAATGTTCTATTGGTTTGGATAGATTTCTCGCAGGTTTCAGTTTGGCTAAATCTAGATTCGAAATTAAAGTATGCACAAATACCTACACCGATATTTATTTGGATGCTATAAGAACTGTCACAAAATAAACATCACATTTTGTATATGGTTAACAAATTTTTGTTTGGCAATTATAATAGCTGCTAACGTCATAGCGGAAAACTTTAGTTGGCTTGTTATTTTTTTATATAGTCTTAGGATTCTGCGCATGGTGGCGCCTTCTATACGTTCTGGCATTGCTTTTGGATAACATAGAAAGCCTTGAACCGTTAGACGACGAAGACGGCTTATGGAAGAAAACATTAGCCGATTGGATAAATGGTCAATACCGCAGTCAGAGCGCCACTTTGGGGAAAGCTGGTTTAAATCTCAAGATGTGAGATAAAACTCATTGCAGTTCGCTAGCAGTGCACTATTTTTGCTTTACAATAAGTCATTGTAACTGTCTCATTACGTTACGTGTTTAATTTATTCAAATTACAGAAAATACGGCATTTCCTAATGATGCCCTAATGTAGCGTGAAAAATCGCAGTACGAAGCAAGACGATGATGCGTGTATAGATAATTCTGAGGCACAGCAACGATTTCAAAAATCGCGCGGTTTCGGACAACATGATGATTTGGTCGAATCTAGCCATATATATTTATAACTATGTTTACCATATACCCATATACATATTCACGCTACCAACGAATCTCGAAAGTCTAGAATCGAAAAGAAAAAAAAAATAACCCAGCCATATTAGTAAGTTCACAATGTTTCAAGTGTTTATTGTTCGAGAAAGTGACTAGTGTCTTACTGGATATGATAATTAACGTCGGCTTCCTCAATTCGCTATGATAAAATAAGATGAATTGCTCAAATATTTACGTTACGGTAGTCGCCTTACTTTCGCATATTATCAAGTAATTTCTTATGGTTATTATTAGTTAAATATGAAAACACTTGGTGGCATTATGAAATGCACTCCTCTATGCTACAGACATGTAGGAACTGCCCCGCATTCCTGCTGTATTGCGAACTAAACAAATACAGAATAAACAGGTCGGTCATGTTAAAACGATGGAACCCCATGTCGATAAGATCAGGTGACGCTGTATGTTACATCATACTTAGCCTACATTGTGTGTGCTAGTATTACATATATTACAAGATCTGAAAAATGTATACATTAAAGTTAAGGTAGTGTAGTAGACAAGGCCTGACTGGTTCAGGAAAAGCCTAGCGAAAACCTCTGGCCATCCCACAATCTTAAGAACATTGCACAAATGATGATTCTTCGGCTTTTCGTCACTTTCTTTTTCTATAAGTGCTTGATGTGTCGTCGACATAATACGCTATAGGGGCGAGATACGTATGAAGCGTTCTCATAAAGCAAACCTACGTTCTTTTCAGGGTTTACAATATTTAACAACAAGTTTTACACGGAGTAGAGTTTAGTTTGCAGGCCATTTTCGAAATATTGTGTGAGACTTTCCCCTGCTGCTTCCATGTAACGAACGAATTGTGTGATAAAAGTGATAATGATGATAATAATTACAACAGTGGGCGCATTACGCTACCGTTCTATAACAAGCCGCTGGAAGTCCTTTACAAATTCCCATTCAGCAGATTATCGGCGGTCGCCGCGGCAATTGTGAGCTCCGCTGTTTTCGAAGCGTGCAATGCGCGTATGACTAAAATGCGCAAATTGCGACTGATGGTTCCATTTGTGACGTGTACGTAGGTGCGGTCGTCTCAACAACAATTAAGGGAATTGGGTATTCGAAACACGTGGATAGACGTGGTCATCACCTATCGTTCACAACGGGTCCATCCGATTACTTATTTTTTTTTAGGTAGTCTTTGTCCGTCTATTGCACACCTGCAATCTGCATTCACCTCGCTAGTTCTACCACCGGGTCTCGTCTGTTCCACAACAACAACAACAACAACAACAACAACAACAACCACCACCACCACCACCACAACAACAACAACAACAAGTTCACCAACGAGACCCAACAAGGTTAGCAGGTATTAACGCATAGCCCAATCTGTAAATGCCTCATAGGCCTGGCTCAGCTCTCTATTTTCAGGCGAAAACAAACTGTACAATTCGCGTTCTATCTTTCGGTCTGAATAGTCGCTTGTTACTGTGCTCTTCATCGAAATGGGGTAATCTCTACCGGGATCATCCAGGGGAAATGGATGTGTTGGTTCGCACTGTTGCATTGCGTTGCTTACGTCCTGTTGTAGGGCTCTAAAAGAACTGCTACTGTCATAAAGGTCGGAGTCTGTGCTCTTGGAATCGAAACGAAAACGTGTTGAAGAACAGAGGTTCTGATAGCACAGCGGGGCGACGTCATAATCAGGTTCTGATATGATCGGTGTACTTGTGTCGACTTCCGCTAAAGTCATGGGCGATTTTTTGGACTCCATATAGATATGATTGCTGGCGACAAGCGCACGCCGTGAATACAAAGACAATCCGCTGTTCTTCTGTGACAGACTTCTGTTCGTCGTGACCTTGCCATAAACGGGAGGTGCGCATATCTTGCAGATATCATGAGGGTTGGCTTTGAGGTGCAAGATTTGAGACATTGCGATCCGCTTGCCATCGGACATATGGCAACTTGCCTTATCTCTTTTCGGAATGCTGGGTTCGTCCTCGGCCGTAGCGACGCTGATGACTGTCGGCGGCTCCGGATGCTGCGGGGCAGATTCCGACGTTCGCCGACCTTTGTTCTGTCGGGACCTTCGAGGGGACGCAAAATTTACCTACGAGTAAAAATTTCAATCGAAATCAGCGGATATACAAATAATACAATAATTTAAGCAATACTTATCACTAGGAGATCACAAGGTGCATGCAATCACGTATCTGTGGATGTACGACATGTCAGCATTTTACAGCTTAAAAAAAACCTAGTTCGCGATACGTTTTTCTTAAACAGACACCTGGCAACAGGTCATCGTCGGCCTGTTGGGCGGCAGACCTGTCCATTATTTAAGCATATTTACACAAGTTTGATCTTGACACGTTTGCTTTGTAACTGGCTAAGCGAAAAGACTCTGATTTTAACCGTTCATAGCCGCTCTCTATTCAATAAATGAAGAACCATATACATTTGCTGATTTTTTTATCACCTGCTTACTAATGAAAGGTCCAGTTGTTAACATAGGCGTTCCTGTCGACATGAGCCTTACATTTTCTAGGAATAGCTTTTTGCTTACCTCTATGTTTCGACCTTTGATGAGTTTGCCGTTCAGTGCATGAATCGTCGTCTTGGCCGCCTCTATATCTGGCATTGTAACGAAGCCAAAACCCTAGTTTCAAAAGACGTAATGTAAATGCAGCACGTTTAAATAGAAAAATAAACACACGTATTAGATACTGCTTATGTAATGCTGTTGTTAGGATGTGTAGGAATGTGTCATCGATCGACCTTTACAATTTTCATAAGTTGACTGCCTCTATCTGTCGCGGCACTAGAAACGAATGCACAACGGGTACCCCTGTGTTAGCAGGGCGTAAGACAACGTTGCCTGTTGACCCAGTGGGTCATGGCCGTTATCAGCGCGATTGCAGTTTTCTGATTTCAGAGACACCATTTTATGTCCATATAGTCTATTCTGGGGAAAAAAACTGTAGTTGCTCTCGTATACCCATTCTCGTATATTCCCATGCACGGGGACAATATTCATGGTAAATAGTATAAACATCGAGATCGTTGCAGATACATTTCAGTTAAAAATAATAATAAAAAAGGTCCAGAATAGCTGTTAAATATTGTTTTTGAGAATTTATCACAGAGCTATGGCCTGCATTGATTGTTATCAGATCTCTTTCACAATAATTCTGTTCATCAAAAGTAGCTCTTTTTCGACTCCATTCGGTTGCCATGCATGTCCACCTTGTAGTTGGGTGTCAGTTTATGATAGCAATGCAACACAAACACGCTATCAACTCTTTCATATAATAGATACTGGCTGAATAGAGTTTCGGCCGCGACGCGGGAAAACAATACGCACGACATTAGAGAAGCGGTATTCCGACAGGCTGATGTGAAAGTCATGAGCTATTGTACATTTATTCGAAACATTGAAATTCATATGTCTGTCCAAAAGGTTTGTTACAGGCATGCCGATTGGTGTAGATAGTTTCTACGAAAATGCTGCGTTTCAGAATGGAAAAAAGTTCTTGTTCTTCAGCGTAAGACGATGCATGTTATACATTAGTAGAAGGCACGTTTCCAGTTCTCTAGCTGTATGCTTATACACATACCATTGAACCGCGGCTATTGGAAATTATTTCAGCGTTAACAGGATGACCATATGGACGCACTAGATCTTCGAGGTCTTTTTCTTCCCAGCGAAATGGTATAAAGCTAATGTGAAGACGACTACTACCCTTCGTCCTGATAGCCTGCTGCGCGAAGCGGTGTTCCATATCTTCAGTTTGGCCCATGACTGGACGTCCTGCACCTGCTCCTGTTGATATTGCGAATTCACATTGTATCTGTATCTGATTATCGCGTTTTGCCACATACTAACTCAATGTATAAACTGCAAGTTACGAGTCTAACAAGCCGGGTCTTCTACACTGAGGGCGCGTATGGCGCGGGCCTGTCTGTCCTATCGTGGCCCTTCTAAACATCGAGCTCGGATCGTATCACAGCTAGTCTGTTGGCAACTGCCATTCGATCATAGATAAACGGTACTTGAATTCCGAATTGAATCAAAGCTGGAGCTATTTTTAAGCCAAACATGTTGTGGAGTCGGTAAAACGACGCGCTTATGTAGTAAAAGGTATATCCTACGGATGCTTGGCTTGTTTCGAATGACGAAATGAAGTTTCCACGTAGTTTGACCGCTGGTCCAAGATCTCTCTGTTCTAAAGGATGGACTAATGCTAGCTGTATTGTCTCTACCATGCAAGATACTAGCAAATACTTACTGTTTTTTTTTGTAACTTAAAGACGTTTGTGGTGATAACTTGAAATCTGAATGACGACTACACTGATTTGGTCATTTCCAGCCCGGTGTGTACCTAAAATCTTCCGATGGAAAGAATTTAGCCGTCTACTTCGCATTGAGGCAGGACTTCGGGTGGGGTTTAATCAAAGCATCAGCGTCTCTGACGTCCGAACTCTTTACGATATCCGCACGAACAAGTACGCATCCACAGGCACTCTCGCTCAATGTCGAATGTTACTTTCCGCGTCGCTGCACAAATTCAGTACACAACAGATCAGATGCCAGCTCCCGCAGGTGACCTTTATAACGAGACAGCACACATCAGCGCCAGGGCTAAGGCAGCAGCTGGAAACAGTCTCAACAAAAATACGAAATGCTGTGGCAGCGCTACATTAGAAAAAGCCTTACGTTGCTTTGTTGGGTCGATTACGTGTGTAGACCTTGTGTACGTTTGTGTAACTACCTAAGCGTGCACAAGAAGCACACAACCTTCCCTCTAATCGTTCGACGTCTAACTTTAAGCGCGTATATCATGCGGGGCACTACATACAGGCACGGGTTGAATGGCAATTAAAACAGTGTCTTATACCCGCTAGTGCACCGTTCAATGCAACGATGCTGTCCACTTAGACAGCTTCGTTACAACTGATTCTGTCAGCCAGGCCGTAAGTGCCATTGACCTTGTCCTTCCGAGCTCAGGCTAATTTAGGGAAAATTTATTGCTAGACAAAAAATAAACTTGGAAGTAACTAGCTAGATAAAGTACCGTTGATGCTTTACTATATCAAGGAGCAAATGTACTAGCTACAAACCGTACAACGCTAATTTCGTGTGTATTAAATCTATCTGGTAATTGTACGAAGGAAGTATTTTCAATCGTGTTATATATTTTACACGGCTTTTGGCTTTCTTAAGCCTTTTGAATATAGATTCAATGATATTCAGCAATAAAACGAACCTAACATAGCCAGCATTAAATGTTAACCCGATTCACATCATAGTCGAACCTTGGCAGAGAACTCTAAGTAAACTGAAAAACGCGGTCTCAACCACTTACGTACGATCTGGGAACATATGCATATACATAAGGCTTTAAATGATATCAAGTCATTGATTGAATTACTTGTTCTGCATGGTCTGTAGACGTACATTCGTTTTATACGTTTACTGAAATCTTCGAGCAATTAATCGCTCACATTAGCTCTCGTTTTCGATGTACGAGTTGTCCGATGACGACAGGCTAAAATCAGAACTCAATAACGTTTCATCCGGCAGAGGAAGTAGGCGCGCAGTCGCCTGTAATAGACGTATCATATCGTATATAAAACCGGGCCACTACGCAACTGGCCCGCAGTCGGCCTGCTGTGCCTCGCAGCATGTTGTAGCTAAAGCCTTTTGGACTTCACTATTGAGGGGAGCCACGAGATGCGCCTGCTCGATCCTGTGGCTGTGCAGCCTCCATAGCTTTTTTCGAAATTGTTATCGAATACATAGAGTGCTCGAAGAGCTTTCTCGTGTGTTTCCGTAAACGCTAAAACCTTTAACGTTAACATGTTAACTCGACATCAACTCATATGCTGAAATCATTTCTGAAGTTAAATGCTTAACCAAAAAAAAATACTGATAAGTCGATACTAAATTAAGAGATATATGGGGCGATAGTTGAAAGGAGAACTTGTGTATAGATAAGTTCTACGACGATATCAAACAACGACCTAAAGCTTAGGCAAAGGATCACAGCAGCGCGACGCTTAAGTGTCACTCTTTCATATTCACTGCTAGCTCTAATCATACTGAATATGATTAGGTTGTTACCTCATCGAGAACTCCGTTAAAATACTGAGCTGAGGGAATCTTGAAGCGCTCGTTGAGTTCTGAAGCGTTAGAACTAGCGGTGAAATAATGGTGATTTGGCCAGTTTGGTGGCGTCGGGTCCCAGATGGCGCTTTGCGCCGTGCCAGATGTCCCAGGCATAGTAGGATTCATTGACTGTGTTCGAATTCGGTTGGTGGTATTAATAAGCGAGTCGAACGTTTCCTTCGTATATCGACAACAGGACAGACATGTTACTAACTCAGCTCTGACGGCCACATATGCTCATGCTATCTTTTGCCCTATTTCAAAATTCGTATACTAGAAGAATAAGCAAGATCTATTCACTTAATGTATATGGACATCCTTAGAAGAGCCCTGATGGTAAGGAAGAAACAGTTTCTGAACGATTTACCTGCTCAGATTGTTCGAGTTGCTGTGAGATACTGGCCAGCTCGTACTGCTGCCGCAGAATTTGATTTCGAAGCTGTCGTTGTCTTTTTTTTAAATGTCTACAAGTATACAAGCATAATAAATCAACATCGATGATTTTAATCAGACATGTTCAGAGGCAATGCATGAGAAATAGATAAGGCAACCGACTTCCTCTTCACAGACTATAGCAATAAGGCAGGACTAAATCTAGTCTACGACACTTACCGAAAGGGTCTGCACGAAAAGTATCTACTAACCTCGATATCACCGGGAAATTTTCCCCTACCGGAGTATGTATATCGGAGAAAATCTCAAATTGGTTCCCTAGTTTACTTGGTAAAAGGAACACCTTTTAGAGGCATCTTAGTATCTCACTTTTATGACGAGTTTTTTTTATATATTTGTACCTCTCTGGTTACTCTGCTGGCGCTAACGAAACAAATGGAATATGTCGATAATCTTTTCAAGCGAACTATACCTCTCAGCGGACGCAGTAGGATAATTAGAGCGAGAACTTTCTGGCGTCGAACAGAACGACGAAGTACTAGGCCCAGGGGCGGCTGGTGACTCCGTGGCCATCGCTGAAGTACCGCAAGGCTCGAAGACAGGATTCGGTTCGAGTTTGGTGTAAGCTTGTTCCATATCATTCGTTCCGGGACACAACCACGAGTCAGTTAACGGCAACAAAAATGATGAGTCGTCCATAAGCGAGTTCTCACTTAGGCATTGCGATGATTTATACGACGACTCTACCCAGTGGCAAGCATAAATTCAAAAATGGGCAAAATAGCTTTAATAGTATAAAATGAAAATCAACATTAAATTCGTATATACCCTTAAGAGCTACTGTATAATGCTTGATTAAAGCTAAATAGTTTTATCTCTACTCTACAAATAGTATTTGTTATGAATGCAACAAAGCTACGGCAGGTAATTTAATTACGATAGCGTTATCTGTAACAGGCAAGGTACATATCAGATAATAGAATTATTTGTCAAGAATGAGCAGCGCACCATTGCATGACTGCTCCGATGGGTTGGGCGAGATGCTGCTTCGAGAACTGCACGAATACGATGATTCGTAAGACCTCGGTGTGGATAGTAGGGTTGAAACTGATGATCCTGAAAACGAGTAACCTCCCCAGGTTCCCATAGCTTTATCTGAGCCTTGGTCCACTAATTCGAAACCGTTACTTCCGTTCGTACTATAGGTAGGTGTCCTTTCGCGAACATTTCCACAGTTTATCGACGCCGTCGATTGTCCTGCCGAAGAACTTGACGAAGCTCCTGCTCCACCAGTGCCTGTCGCTGCTCCTGAAGGTCCTGAACCAGCCGAGCAGCGAGCAGATTTAAGGGCGGCATCGCGTTCGCTGTAGCTATTAGTTGACATGTAAGCAGAAACGGAGATTTGATGTACAAGAAAGCGTCAATGTTTGTTGTTTGCATGTTACGAACTCCAGTCCTATTTACCTGAGTACACGATGGGTGCAGACGATATGCCTCGGCCTTGAGGTCCATTGTTGATACGAGATGTAGTAACGAGTCTGTAGCCAAAGCCACTGTTGTCCTTTTGTCAAAAACCGATAGTGACAAGATGATCCTTCTCCAGTCTGAAGCACTACCTCCGAACATATGTTCCAAATACATTACGTAAATGAGCCAATGACCGAAGTTACCATAGTGAGTGGCGGCAAAAACACTTGCGCCGTCCTATTTTCTTTCTTTACGTAGAGCAGAACTGGCTTGCGATGATATTTGGTTTGCAAATAATTAATATCTAAAGTGACAGCGCCATCTAGTAGCTTGGGTTGAGCGGGCTATTTTAGCTCATAGGTACAGTTGGAGGAGGGAAAAAGTAATACCAAATTAACTCAGATCAGCATTGATTATGTTTTGCCATCGATACTTACGTGAACGGTGACCTTGGACGATTCTGCTCAGATCATCAACGTGATAATAGTTATAGCCTGAAGTGCCAATGAGCTCAAATGGTAGATACCCAATTATATTTGCAGCCCTAAAGTAAATTAAGGCTGTGTCAGTAGTAACATCAAGCAACATTTAAGAGAATGTCTTTGTTGGAAAAAATGCTTCCGGTATAAGGTCCATGCAAAGTTCTTTCCTCGCTGCACCGGGGTGTGCAGCTAATAGCGGCAAAAGCTTTATGCTCACTAACAGATGACTAGTCCTATGTTGTCTTCCTATTTGATGTTAGCCAATGGCACAGGATGATTCAAAGAGGTTAGTCAAAAGATGTTATGGAGGGCCCTTCGACGGCTCGGATATAAGTATTCGTGTTCTCATTTTATTCTAGCATCAAATTGGTCGTTCGTGCTTGGTATCGAACTTCGTGAACCAGAGAATACCGCTAGCCTTTAAAATGCCTATGGATTATTTTCTATATTGTGCTCTGAACGACTCAGACACGCTTCATTTTACCGGGTGTCTAGAAAGACGAATTTCCATTCCATATTGTGATGTGATATAAACTCGAGCGTGGTATCGTCGGGGACCATCAGTTCGCGTGTCACTTGCCCTAGTCGTAGGGGTAATGCTACAGCGACAAAACATGGATGCCACCGGTCTTTTCCTTGAACTGAGATCGTCGGACCTTGAAAGGCGGCCAACAACAAAGTGCTATAGCTTAAGAATCGAAATCATCGAAAACTGTAAGTGTAGTTAGGGTATTAAGCTGATTCTTTCCTCGGTTTTTTTTACACTTTGAATTTCGATTGTGATTATTTTGATAGTAAGATTAATTTTAAAAAAAATTTAAAAAAAAATGGTAGCAATAGTGTCCGAGGCTTACCTTCGGTGTAATTGCGAAAATATCCCACGAGCTTGAAAGGCTCGTAGACTGCCGTTTGTACGGATGGATGCGTTCGCAGCGGGCCCCAACGCATGTGAAGTATCTGAAGTAAAGCGCTAAAATTTTTAGAAATTACGACATCTCTTACGCTTCGGAAAGCTTTCATACTTTAAAGCCTTACAAATTGCCCCTCTTACGGTTTCCGTTGCGCGTATGACCATCTTCTAATAATCGAAAAAGATCACGCCCTCAGCCTTCGTACAATGCCCATCAGATAATGATCCTTGCTTTTCCTCATCAGAAACAGTGTAGCGTCTGCGACATCACAGCTAGCAAAAGATACTAAATGTAGTTCACTTTAGGCTTTCAGCTATTTATATCGTTCTCTGCACTTACGATTGTAAAGGCCACGTTGGAGTCACGTAAGGGAGCAACGTCCAGCCCCGATGCAGCCCTCAACAAACTGTAGATATCTGCATGATCGTCCTTGTGTACGATTGAAAATATTGCGGATCGCAGATAATGAGGCACGTAGCCGAGGACCGAAGCCACTGCATTCGACACGTACATTATGACGCCCTTATAAGAAACACATAACGTGAAGGCGTCTTGGCTCTAATCGATAAACGCGACATCGTTGGTACCACGAAGCAGAGTCGAGAATTGTCGCGCGTATAATGTGTTATTCGCGATAGCATCATAGCATTTGAAATAAACCAATATCCGCGCGTTGACATCAATAACAAAGTAGAAAAAAGGAAGGACGGAAGGAGCAATGAAGACACAGTATCTCAGTTAGCGATAGCGAAAAGCAAAAACATGCAGACAATCGCAAGTGATATTAAGTTAGAAGAACCCTATCAAGATGAAAGCCGAACAAGTGGTTCATCTGGAGGTAATAGAAGACTGACGAGCGTTTCGTGACCTATCGAGCGACAATACAAACGTTTTACAGCTGAGATAAAAAGTTAAACATTTCTCATTGTTGTAAGTAATAACATTATCGATTCACAAAATGTTAAGGTACTTCTTCGTGGATTGTGGCATAATTTACGAATAAGTATATTAGAAACTAGGCGAAATCACTGCGTGCAACCAAAGGGTTGTTTATGTGTGTTTGGCTGTGTTATGAAGCTCTTGGTACGTCTAGCACGAACGTGCATGAAAAATGTTGAGAAAACGGATCACGTTATGACCTAACAACTACTTCCGTGTGCTATGCGTCAGGTTCATTGAAAATGCGTAGTTAAACATCTAGAGCAGACGTCTTCATACCTCAAGAATTACCCGGCAGAAGTCATTCTCAGAAATAAAATCTGGGAACCAGCTTCGATCTAACGCCTGTTCTTCAGCGATGTTCTGAGGCTTCTCTGAAATACAATGTCTTTTTAGGCGACTCGGTTTATATGGGACACCTTATACAAAACGTTGCACAAATATAACACTATGTATGGCGTAAAACATATATGTTACTTATACTTAGGAAACACTGGGCTAATACGACAATCGTATGATAGAATGCCAATACGGCGATGTGATTTTGCATAGGTAGCGAAGTCATGTGAAGCTAGCTCCATATACGTTTCGTTTTGGTGTAGAAGAAGTTATAAAATAGAACTATTATGTTCGTGAATTCAATATCAGTCATTCTAACTATAACTTTGAGGACAACAGCTGGCACAGCCATCAACTGGGATGTCAGCGAAGCCATTACGACAACTTCATTACAGTACAAACACCAAAGACTTAATGTGCTTTAGTAGAAACAATTTAGAATCAACAATAACCGGTTTGCATATGTACGATAAGATATGGCAATAGTACACCAAAAGAACCTCGTGGCAACATATCAAACAAACAGCATAGCTTAGATAACGATCTAGGCTAGACGTTAGAAGCTACCTTTGAAGTGGCGAAGATAGGCGATACTTGCTTGCAATACAGCACTTTTATCCATTTTCCTCGACGATTTCGTCACCATCGAATTAAGCTCACTGATTAGTTTGTTGAAAATGTCGCGACGCTTTTTTTCGCTAAGATTTCGATTCTTCCTACGGCGGTATTGGACACAATTAATAAAAACAACCTTATAGTTGATCACTCTCTAACTCCGAAGTGGATACGGGCCAGCTTCAGCTCCGCAGCAAACAATTTTTTATATTTTTCTATCCTGTTTATTGTTTGGGAGAGGTGGAAGATATGAATATCGTTAACGCGAAGACTTACCGTTTCGTGTCGTCTCGCTCGTCCAGGTCGCTTTCGTCACCGCTAAAATGAAGTACGCAAGCGTTAGCAACGCTTTTGAAAGTAAATCATCGCTAATTTTTTATACTTGAACACAGCTGGTTGGCCTTCTTGATGATCAGCTTTAGTACGTTGTCGCACCCCACATCATTTCCTATTCGTAAGTTTTGCAACTAGAAAAAAAATCTGTATTTCTGATTGATTTCTAAAAGCCGTCCAACAGAATCATTCATTCATTCATTCATTCACGTAAATGCTTACGTGACTGAAAGGACGACCAACCCCTAGAACGCGTGATTTTCCGCAACGCCAGCCCCGCATAGCCTTGATAGCATAGCATTTTCTATGCTATATATATAGGGGCGCTCTAAGTTAACTGGTTGTTACGAAATTTTCCGGCTTTACCAAGCTAGGAAAAACGCTAAGACGAATGTACTAAAACAACAAACGTAAGACGCCTTTACCACAAATATATGTACTACCGTAAAAAGGCGGTGCTGATTTGCGAACTAATAAATAGTCACTCGTACAATCTCTGTCGTACCTATGTCTCATTAGTGGGATTTGAAGGAGTAATCTCGAATTCCTTCCTCGGATCTTTGACAGGCGACGAAACACTGAACTTCGAAAACCAGTTTGTTAGGAAAGCCTTGAGGGGCCATATAATCCGAAGAACGCTAACTGAAGTTAAAGCACTTAGTGACCAATGAACTCGTAAATATGAGAAATCAGCTTTCTATCATCATTTCTTCGCAGACACAATATTAATAGCAGCCTAAAATATCTGTCTGAGAATGCAGCAAGAAACAGTTCGCAGACGATAAACGACATGGAAATACATATCTCTTTACTTCCTGATCTGAAAATGTTTTGTCATTTTGCGCTCATTCAGCGAGACACAGACAGAATCATCCCCATGTAACGCCATTTTAGCTGACGACATCGTCCCAAACCTCTTAGCTAACCGGCTAATCTACTTTCGTAACCTTTCTGCAACCTGACCGCTTTTAATGTAGGTCGTCAAATGGATAGCTGCTATTTTTGTCCCTTGATTTCCTACTATAATTTCATGTTAGCTCGACGTCAAACGTCACCTACCGTTAGAGAGCTTTGTTTTTCCGCGAGTGCTTTATTCAAATCGCAAAATTCTACCTTGGATCTATCCAAGATATCCAAGGATATGGGTATTTTGGACAACAAACAACAGCGTTTTTGAGACACCATAAGTCACAATCTCGAAAGCACAATTTAGGAGCTGCTGAAACGATTTAGGATAGTGACAACAACCTGAACGACGAGATCTCTATAGTTGAAAGTACTGCTTAAGTGTAGTTGAAAAATAGCATCTTGAAACTAAAAAACGTGCTCCGCTAGGCTTCTCGAGTGCGACAAGAACTATTTGTACAGCCTCCTGCAAAACAATGGTTATTAAATTAGACCTTATCTTTCATTTGGAAAGTCGTTATTCTAAGGAAGCGAGTCTTCTGGATTTCTTTTCGCGTCCTTTTTTTTTTTCTAATATTTCATAATGGCAGGGTAGGAAATTTATATCCTTTTCAAGTTTGAGCTCAAGATGAAAATGACTGCCCTATAATAAAGTATATAGTAAATAAAACCGAGTAAATAATATATATCTGTGTAATGTAAATATAATGCAAAGAATAAGCTATAAGTAACACATGACCATATGTAAATGAAAAATTAGAAAAATTATCAACACGAGAAAATGGCAATTGCTTAGCCAGCAACCTGACGCTTTCGGCCACTGGACTCATTGTCGCTAGGTGCGATTCAAATGTATCTACCGCTAACAACAATGCTTATTCCCCCCCCCCCCCCCCCCCCCGTCCACCTTAGCCATCTGAGCTCCATCGTACGAAGCCAGCGTTACGAAACCGACAACGGCTTGATGAACCCATTAAGAAGCTACGCTTGCGATGAACAGATACGTGTATGGGCTTCGCGGAAATTGGCCATTATTAAATACAAAGTGCACTGACGATGGTAAAAAGTCTGTTATTTGGTCCAGGTAAGCGTAGTATAGCGTCCATCAGTGAGTAGATGAAAGCCGTCGAGGAGGCTCATAATAAATAGAAAGGCCGAAAAGAGTATGTTTAATCTGGCATTTTCCCATTTATGAAACCGAAAATGCATGCCTACATGCCGTCGGTGTTATAACATACGCATTGTGCAGGAACAAGGTCCTGCGGTGGCGAAAACCTAAACATTATGTGCGTTATACAGACGTTCAGTTGGTACACATTTTACATTGTATGACACACCCTTCACCTATAATAGTCTAGATCACTTCATACCATACCATACCATAGAACAGGCGTCATTGTCCAATGCAAAAATGTCGGCGTGAGAGCTAATATTCAAAAGTATACAAATATCGTGAACATACGTATGGCGAGCACTGATCCTATATATATAAGGATGTATATATTTTATATATATATAAGAATACCAGATTTATTTATGGCAGCGTAAATTTTGCCAACATGCTCCAACTGTTAGAGACAGGTAGAGATGAAAGTACAATTTGAGTAGGACAAATTGGTTCTGCGACAATTTGCGAACGGATCGAGAGTGTTAGTTGTAATGATCGAGAAGGCCAGACCGAATTTACCTCGACAGTTGCACACCTGCTACCACAAACCCTTAACTATAGTTAACTCGAAAACGTTAGCAGACGGCGAGCGTAAAGGGCATACTCTTCCAAATACCTGTTATTTCCCGCTCAGTGTCGAACAAATCGCGATAGGTCAGTTGTAGCGCTATTCTTGTTGTACTGACTGTCTAAAGCGATGCCTATATATATAAATAAAAACGTATCAGCTGAAACTTGTCTGTATTTGAACTTGTGCCACCACACTCCCCTGCCGGCCTACTAATGAGATCAAATTTTTATAGCCCTCGAATATGAGCTTTGTGTTCTGCCCACGTTTTGAGATTAACGACTATTCTTTCGTGGAACAAAACAAGTGAAAACAAGCATCCACGAGTTACTGCTGCAAAGGACTTTGATGATCGGGCTTCAGATCAACACCGAATGCACAACTCGTACTAAAGGTTTTGCGACCAACAAGCAAACGTTCTGGGCACTGTAAACAAAAGCATGGAAAAGCAAAACGATCCATGCTGTAAAATTGCCGAATTAGGGAATTATACATCTTGCACAGGTCCTTTGGGACTATTCTGAAAGGTCACGGAGCAGCTTATATGTACTAAGCACCCAAGAATCTGAATCTCTTAAAGACGTAAACCCGTCAACAGCTGTCTCAAAAACGCCTCAAGCATTCGAAGACGAGCCTCTCAGTTTCAGCATTAGCTAGACGTTAGTCATGACGGTTTCTCAAAAGTAATAAAACATCAAAAAAAAAGTATAGAAATGTGTGTAGTTAATTTCATATGATGTATATAATAGTACATTTAAATACAATAAGCGAGCAGACGTATGGGTGCACAGGGGTAGCCGTGTGTGCAGGTAACTTGAATAAGCACTTGCTCAGTTTTTCTTTTTGTTCAGAATGCCACCCGGCCGCACTAGGTAAATCATAGGCCTAACGTACCAGTAATATATCGGTCTCTCTATTAGATAGTCATTAACATACCTGTATTATCAATCTTTATTAATTTTCTCACATTGAAATGGTTCGAAGCTGCTGATATTGGTGGTCGTATTCATTTTTTAAAAGGGCATTCAACAATGCAGATGACTTTAGTCGTCGAGGGCATTTCATCAGAATAAAGTAGCAACGGGGGTTCTTGGGCTAAATTTTTTTTAATAAATGATCCAAACTGGCTATTAGTAAAATACCCAGCTTGTTTATACGCCTCCAATATGAATCGACGTTCGATTAATTATCTGAATAGATATTTTTATACATTAAGCATAGATACTTCTTGCCGAAAAGAAATCGTCTGTATTGTTTCTATTTTACATTACTATACGGCCATGTGACTTCGCACGATCGTGTGCATGAAACTAAAATCTCGCACTGGTAGCAGGTTGACAGAAACAAAGTTACTCGAGTCTATCGTTACTCTCAAACGTCCTTGCTATTTTTCTCGTACTCGCTACATTGCGGTGTGGATATGGCGTTCTTGAGGCGAAGAGTTTCCAGTTTGCCTAAGGACGCGACGATTTTGACAGTTGTTGTCGACAGCGTACTCCCCAAGTATTTGTTTTTCTCTGTTTGTGCTCGAAAGTGGTATATGGGCAGAGTTTGTTTGATTTACGTGAATCAATCAGCGTGGCTTTAGAATAGACTTGAGCGAAATTCAGAGGCACATTTTTCGATGGCCCAGAGATTCTTTATGTTGTCGAACGGCGCACACGTTCTGCACCAACACGCATGGCCTGCCCTATAGGTACTAACCTGTGTTTTCTTTTAGTTGTTGAGGATACCGCTCCTGAAGGGTACGACATAATATTTTCTCTTGGAATTAGTGATTGTTAAACAAGTTACCGCCAAACATTTGATTCACCAAGGCTTTACAGTCGGAAACATCCTACAGGTGCCGTGCGCCTTTCCGTGAAGCAATGTTAAGATTTCAGAATTTTAAATTATTTCCTATGGCATTTTGATGGACTGTTTCTCGCCATGCAGGTTTTCTCCAAGGTTAGCACGTTTCAATAAAGCTTCGAGTCACTCGCCAGTATGCCATTACACCTTCGTTCTGCTCTCTGTATACTCACGTCGGACATCGGCCGGCTTCGAAAGAGCCAATTTCCCTTAGCCCCTGTCCAAGGGGCTCTCCTACTCTCACCCGCTTACATAAGACCAGAGGGCGGCGCCATCGGATCTGTTACAAGCAACACAGTAACAACGCAGCTTTGGCACGCGCCAGAAACGTATTCTCGATGGAGTACAAGTATTCAATTTTTATGAATTTTTGTTTTTTGACTATTTGCAGAAAGTCTGCAACGCTCACGATACTATCTGTAGCCGATGGCATTCAACCTCGCCGATGTGATGCCGACCACGGGACCTGCTGGATTCTCGAGAGAGCCAAGCTTGAATAAATTTAAGTGTGATATAGAACTTTGTGAATTCGGGCCAAAAATTGTTTATCGAGGGATATTTTCAAGCTGTCACTTGAGACTCGACTGGATATAGGTTATCAGGACATGTCCTCGCTGTCTGAGGCAATTAGGCAGGCATATAATCCAATCTTTGAAATCCATTTGTTGATTCCTCAATCAACTGCACAAAAGAGAAAGGAGACTTGTTTAGACTCTATGATCGAAAACTCGGGAGGATCAACTGAAAATGTCTGGCAACGGCCAGTAAGTTTGCGATCAATTTCAACGACCATATGGATCTGTAGAGCGTGAGAAACCTTATTGAGTTAGCCTTCCAGCCAGCGTACCTTCATGTTTTAGCTCGTTGTTTGCCTATTGAGATAAATCTGCATTGTGGTCACTTCCTGGTTCAGCTAAACTAACCTGCATTTTCAGATATCAACTCCGAACTATTGCGTATGAGACTAGGTTCCACATTAGGCGGATCATATACACGGATATACACACGACATCCATTAGGGACTGAACTGTTTACGATACTCATTGTACGAGTTCATCAGACTGCGCTAATTTCTTCTTTGGGCATGCTAAATCTTCACGTACGAAGAGTAAATTCGGTTACATAATATTAGAAATGGCCGGCGTTAACTGCTGCGCTGGCTGTCTTTCTCATAGATCGCATGGTTATATATGAACTATTCTTATATATAATGAATGAACATTTTGTTAATTGCGACCTAGTGTAGGCAAGTGGGTCTTATGCATTAACATTCTAATCAAGATCCAATTATCAAAGCCTCTCAAAGCTCTTCTACGACCCAGTTCTAATGCAGACAAATTGCCTCTGCTGATAGCAGCAGTTACGTGAGCCCCAGAAAACTAGCTTGATTTTGATAATATGCTAAGTAGTCCGATTAGAGAAAGCGAACAACAAGACAAACATGGCTCCGTCGGACGACAGCAAGCTGCTCTTTGTAATGGCTGTAAAAAGTTGATCCAGGTTAACGGCGGCATCCGATTAAGCTAACCGTCAACGGCGGAAGATGCATCGGGTCTACTTTCGTCCTGAAAATTAGCCCTCTGATTGGCGACTTGGCCTAGGTATAAGTGAAAGAGGAACGGAACCTACCTTCTAGAAAAAAGTCGATTTAAATCTAATTTTACAATAGAAAGGTCGTTATATAGCATTGAAATAAGAATACGTCGCCTTATAGAACAAACCGATGTTATAAGCTACCATTTGCCCTTCCTTCGACGTATGCATATATAAGACAGCCTTGATTTGGCCATTTCACCACTGTGATTTTTTACGTGTGTATATATATATATATATATATATATATATATATATATATATATATACGTAATAATCTACGTAAGAGATTGTTCTGGTCGCATCGATACGCAAAACGCCTAAATTTTAATCAGTAAACTTTTTTTATTGGGCATAAAATCAAAAACTAACATAAAATTTGTTCTTCCAGTATGAGCACTCGATAACGGTCTTCGTGATCCGTTCGATCATTTCAACATGGCGTTCCTTTCAGTTGTTTTCTTCTGCAATTTAAATACTGTCACATCTTAACTATATACACCTTATATGCAAATAGAACTATTTTGCTTTCGATCTTCATTATTACTCTTACCATGTTACTCTCGTGTCTTCATATGTTCAGATAATGCAATGTGGGTCATATAGATTCCGCAAGATTTACCGAGTGGCCTTCGCTCTCGATGTTTTCGGTGGTAGCAACGATTTATAACGTTAGAGTGCGTATCGGGAAAATAGGGGCAGCTCAGATTTAGGGACTGAGACAGACACTAGCTTAAACATTTTGCTCTCTAGAAAGGCTAGCTTGAATGCATGTTTGTCTAATATAATGTTTGACAAATTCAGCTTTTCCCAGCATCAGTCTCGATTCAGCCTAAAACGAACGACAGTTAGCCAGTCGAAGCAAACGAGCCATTTTTTACTACTTGAATAAAGAAATCATTAGGATAGTGAATTGTGATGGCTTCGTGTCACTCTAAAATAAACGTACAATCATCAGGCGTGCCCTAATCGTACTTCATGCCTATCATCTAAGCACACTATTAAGAATTTTTCAGGTTGCCGTTAAACGTTACTCTAGCGTAAGTAAAAATAAAAGTTCCAAACTTTCTATCCAGTACTGATGTCAAGCTTTATGCTACGCAAACGTGAAACACCTCACCTATTGTCAGGTCTAGTAAGTAGGCACGCTGCCACCCAAGCTTGACTAAGTTTGTCCAACTTAGAAATGCTATAGACAACGTTATACCAACAAACATTGAGTCAATGGCCTGCATTGAATTCTAACTAATAAAGCCATTTTTCCTCTGAACCTTTTCTGAGACTTGATAAACGATGTATTAAAATCTCCTCGTACTTCGGCCTGACATCCTACTGATCCCCCCGCCTCCGCCCCCGCCGCCCAAACATCCTCGTTGTGGATTTAGCGAGACGAAGGTCCGTTGTGTATTGTAGTAATGTCCAATAGCGACAATATTCTTCTGTCCTTATCGAAAGTTGCGTTGGTAATTATACGCGGAGTGGGGGCAAATTCATCCGTCTCGTCGTGAACAAATCTATCGCGTCTCTCCAATAGAAATACAATAACATATCGGTCGCCACTGGCCTGACGATAACTGTATGACGGTCGTTAAATTATTACCGGCTTTTTCTGATTATTCAAGTATACGATATTTATCAATAATTACTTTACTACAATATCATATTTTGTGTAGATATACGTCAGTTTCAGCGCGATAATAGTAACTAACAATAATTATTAATACATAGGACAGATCTAATTCGATGCGATGTTGATCGGAGTTTTTTCCCATGTTGAATAAATTTATATATACAAAGTGATATATGTGGTACATCGTACGTACTATGCATGCACGTATAGCACGTAGCATAACCATACGATTTGCACCATTGTAATGATGTAAATGTCATAATTATGATAGTTCGAGTGAAAGTGATGATGAGTGACAACGACTGATGATAATACAGTTAAAAAAATTAAACGAGTCTCAAATATTTGTACCCCAATCGTACCCATGGACCCTTAAACTTAGCCTTAACTTATCAGACATTGTACATGTGTCCACACTGGGAAGTCGCAGACGGCTAGCTTCGTCGCCGCTCAACAGAAGATACTGCATGCTTTTCGATATTATGCCGCGTTCAATCATTTCGTCGTATCTCACTCCGCACATTATCGAATCGTTTCCAAGTGAAACAGTCCATGCTTTTATCCCGGTGCTGAATTTATAGCCCTGCCAGCGTCCTGGCCCTGCGATCGACGTTAGTTTAGGTCATCGATATTGGCCGATTCGTCCACGGTCGGGGATTTCGATCGAATTTTTTTTCAATTGATTATTGTTTAGATTTGCAATTTACACTTGCCCACTGTAGCGGACACCGCAAGCCGTACTGTGCCAATACGCAACAATTGGCAGTCACAAACTTTTCGAGTAAATAGGTACGATTAGTTGATTAATAAATAATCGCCTCAAGTACGCGTAAATCCGAATACGCAAACACCTACTAGCCATTGATAAAAACAGACGTTCATTCACTTCAATCATACAGACCGGTTATAAAGTCGGCAGCGTCACCTGACACAGCCGCGCTCGAATTGGATCACTTCATTCATGTGCGTTTTCCTATTTGCTTCGGTCTCGCGTCGCTACTGTGCAGTCAATATGTGTTTATCACCAAATACGTCTCCGAACAGCTTTAGAAATTATGATCGTCACTAATCTGGGCTCGAAAGGTGTTGCTCCGTTTGATTGTGGCCGCTTTTACGGCCGTTGCAGGATGCTGTAACGTGCTAAATTGACCCGGGCCCTTGAAGGTCAAGGTGGGCACATAAGTGTTATTTTCTACAGGCACAAGGGGTAGAGAGCCGAGCCGTTTCGGCACAGGGATGTGCTGAAGGCTGGTTGATAGGGGTGTTGCGTTTAGCATGGCATTCTCGCAATGACGCTGGTTGTAGATGCGGACTGCCAGAATCATCGTGATTAATCCGACCATGTAGGCAACGATCGCCGCCCCCGTGACGGCTAGAGCGCTAGTTCCACCACACTGTACGGCACTGACGGCGGCCAACGAAACGCCTTCGTGCAAACAGATACGAGATTCTCTTGTGTGAACTCCGCCGAGGCAGCGGCGTCGATATTCGTCTTTCGCGATACAATGCCTTTTTCGATGTTGTTCCCCCCGGTGGTCGCATTCGGACCAATCGGTCCATTCTGACCAACCCTCGGTCGGACAGGAATGGACTGCGCACTGACGCTCCTCGATCGACTGACCTTGACAATCAACTCCCCCAACATCAAAGCTGCCCCCGATACAGAATCGCTCGCGACGTTGGATTCCTCCACCGCATGTCACCGTGCATTCAGCCCAAGGCGACCATTCACTCCATGTGCCGTTGGGTGACATCGCCGCCGCTGCCGCAGCGTACCTCGAGTCGTGGCAAACACTCACGTCGCTGCAGAGCCTCTCTTTTTTCGTGGCGACCAGTCGGAGAATCGAAGAATGAGGTACCCTTGCGACACACTGATAGCGGAACCGCTGCTCGAAGTGGCCCTTCCCTGTCTGGTTCGTAATGAGCCACTGAGTCCATTCGGCGGCGCTGCGTACCTCAGCACATTCGTGTGTATTACAAGCTCGATACTCCTTCGTACATCCAAGTTCGCAATCCCGTGCGCCTGTTAAGGTACACTCACGTTGACGGATCTGGTAACCGCCGCCGCATTTCACGCTGCATGGAGACCAAACACCCCATTCGCTCCAATGAGTGATGCCGCTCACAGCTGGAGATAGCTGGCCTTGACCACCCGATGGGTGACAAACCGGATTGCCTGGACAGCCACGCTCCTCGCGAGACTGTCCAATGCACGTACGTCCTCCGAAGACTGGTCGCGGGTTGGTGCAGGATCTGGTACGGTGTTGGTAACCTGGTCCACAAGGCGCACTGCAGGCAGACCACGCACTCCAATCTGTCCATCCACCATGGCGGGTGCAGTTCGCTACTTGAAGCTGTAAAAACATAATTACGCTATACTATGTAAACGATTCTTTGATGCTTCCATTCTAACTAGCATAGTCTAATTTTACGGATGACGATGTCCTTCTACTAATGAGATCAAGGTATGCAACACTCAGCAAGCTACACTGAAATACTCTCAACAAAAACTGTACGTACATCCTCCCCTTGGCAGTCTGCACCGCCGTTCAATGCTTCTGGGGAGTCGCACCTCCGCTGACGACAGAAGCATTCGTCGCCGTCGAGCGCGAGCAGGCCACACGTTCTCCAACTACTCCACTGACTCCATCCTCCATCCACAACTCGGTCATCGGCAGCACAAGCACGGGCTTGTTCCCATTTTGGGTCATCGATGTTGCCGTCAGGCGCAGAACTGCAACGTCCTTCGCGATTATTCCATCCGCAGTACGGATCGCCTGTGCCCAGACAGGCCAATCGTGTTTTGTACGATTTGCATAAGCTAAGGGGTATCTTCAGTACGCTGACATCCGTCGCCGCGTATAAGGCATGACGTCGCTTGTGCAGATGCAGTTGATTGAGTTTCTCGCTGTCGGAGAATGGACGGAAATACTCTACAACACAGCTTGAGTTTCGCAGCGGATTGAACACGACTTTCTTGATGGTTCCTTCAAGGGTGACGGCAAACACGACTTGTACAGAGAGAATATCAGCTCCGACATGTCCTGCCCTATTCTGCTGTTTAGAAGAAGACGCCTTCATCTGAACTTCGTCAGCCTGAAGCTGTATGATACGCTCAAGTTCAGCATGATATAGAGGTCGAGCGCGTGACGCCTGCACAGCATTGAACGTCTGCTGGTATTTTCTCAGATCAATGACGTCGTCATGGGTGAGACCATCAGGTCCCTTGTTCGCGTCTGACCACTGACACTGAAAGCGGGTGCTGGCTATTTTCCCTTTCTGCCAGCGATCGAAGTTACCCGTTAACGGGCCACGAAATGCCGTCTCGATGTCGTCCAGCGTATAGGTACAAACAGCCGAACCGTAGATGCTGTTTCTGTGGATATGAAAATTGTAATAGATAAAAATATGATCAGTGACGGCAGAATAGGGAAACTATATCATCTATAAGCCTATCGGGATGAGTGGTTAAGCCCATTTCGTCTAAATCCTAGTATCTGTTACCAGACGAATGATACGACCACAACGAGTCGGTCATCTCGTTTTGAATAACGTACCCGAGCTGTTCCTTTCTGACCTTAAATATTACTACTACTGATTTTATTTCAGCTTACGCCTGTCCATAGCTGTCATATGAGTTAGTAAAATACTTATCATTGTCAAATGACAGTGAGCTACTGCCGCTGCTAGAGCTCGATGCTGCTACCTCGCATACGAAATAAATCTATGAAAAATTAAGATAAGATTGCAATAGAACTCATGTAGGCAATTGGTAGACATCCGTCATCGGCCTACGGCGGACTAGTTTTTTGAAAACTTGCTTTCCCCAAAGCAGTCACATCCATGACGTCCTTTCAGGTTAAGCAGTAATTGCGATTCACGCCTCTGAGTGACACGATATGCTATTAAGTACTTACTCTCCGGTAGTGAATGCAGCGAAGAACGTCTCCCGTTCAGGCAGATAGTCGACGCTCTGTAGCTCATTGAAATAGAATGGTATACTGCCTGGCAGCGAACAGTTGAGACGCGCCTTCAAAAACGTTGTCCAGCTATGTTTGTCGCTGCCGGGGTCATCTTTGCAAACGCGAGCTACACGAGAGTAAACAGCACGGCCACAACTGAGGTATTCAACAGCGTCCTCTCGAAAGAACAAATAAACGAATGGACCTACCTCAAACGAGGCGATAAACTGCGGATTGCTGAGGTACTCTTGCGCGTACTGTGGCGTACGGAGAAGCGGTCGAGCGCCGGATCTCAGAATTGTCGGATCGTTGCCGCCAAAGTCGATGCGGGACCCGACAAACAGGTCGCCATTAGCTGAAATTGTACCAACCGGCAATTAATACACTCACTCATATCGTTAGATATGTTGAAACACCCACAGGAGGGGTGCGATAGAAACAGTCCATCGAAGCGGTTAATATAGATTTTTATCTAACTCATTTTGAGACGTACGCTAAGCATAACAAATAATATTATTATATTTTCACTTATTGCATACATATATTAAATTTATTTTACACTTAATTTGGCCTATTGGAAATACGGTATGTTTTTTCGGTTTTTTTCAGAATTATCGGTAGGATAGGACAAAGCTATACTTAGTCGATACAGTAAATAAAAAAAAAAAAAAAAAACTTATCCTAATAAATTAGTGGCATAGAAACGTTAATGTAAACATGAAAAGTAAAAATTCTGTCGCTGGCTATATACCCTGTTCTAATCTTAGCAAAGCTGACTTAATGAGTACGTATCTTCGAAACATATGATTATATCTAATTGATAAACTATAATGCCACTTTCTACAATTATATGCAAAATGTGAAAATGAATTGCTATCAAATAAAGACCTAGTATTAAACAAGCTGCAAGAACATATTATTATTATCATAATTATGAAAAGAGGACATTTTAGAAGGGTAATTATAGCATACCCGTCATGACCGAGGTACTGTTGACCCCCGGCGAGTGTGGTGACTTTACTTTGCCGGATTCCTCTTCGATAACGTTTGAAAAGTCGACGAGCGAATAACGGCGGCAAAGTGGGGCAAATGCATTTGTTCCACAGGTAAAAAGCGTCCCGTTGTGACTATATAGCGAGGTAATGTAATTTCGACAGTCATCTGACGATTGGCCCTTTGTGATGCATAGGGATACAGTATCAGTCGGTGAAGCCCATCGTTCGACGTCCAGTCGGCTTAGATTGTCCAAATTCAGCCGAAAGAGAAAGTCTCGCCCAGCGACAATAAGTTGCTCGTTGACTTCATCGACTAGAAGTTGGCTGAAGTTACTCGCACTATCGTGCGCGAACCGTACTCCTTGATCCTCGGCAGCGCCACCTACAATTCGAAATGTCAATTGTACCTATTTTGTATGAAAACAGGGAAACTCTTTGTATGCTTTAAATAAGAATTTAAATAAGTCTTTCTTTTTCACAACGCTGGCGTCATTCGGTGCTTTCTAGTCGAACGATTCCAGTTTAGGCGTGAAAGAAACTTTAAATGAAGTGGTCATTTTGGGCAGGCTTTATGCAACTTCGGTTGAAAGCATTCCTCACTTCTATATATACATCCGGCCCACTTTGAAATTGAATAACTTTCGAACAGCAGACGAGGTTTGGCTGATAGTTACTGTAGTCTTTAGGTCTTAAGCGAAAGCATGATCAGTGCAAATGTTTCAAGAACGTTGACTGGAGCTAGAAAATAACCAGATGGTACCCGGACGACAAAAGCGCCTTGCGGCAACGGGAGAAAACTAAATACAAAAACCAAAGTTTGGAGTCTAAGGCCTCTGCCGGCTAAAACCGGCATTTCACATGTAATGTGTTACAAAATTATAAATCGAATAATGAAAATGCGAAAACGGAATAAAAAAATGTGTCCCTACGAGGACTTCAGGCAAAAGTGTGTGGCGTACTCCACGTCAATTTTTAGAACTTTAACCAATAAAAAAAATTTGTCTGGAGTACACAGTTGCTATAAATTAAGATTATACGATCTCAGCCGCAAGCCGCAGAAATCAAGTTTTACTGCAGTGTCGAATAAATAAAATGGGACGTAAGGTGATGGTAGTGCCGACAATGTACATCAGGGCCAGCTGGTATTGTCACCCCAATAGCTTGTTAGGTAACGTATTTGCCTGCTGATCCTAGGGACACGTTGTTGCCTAGGTTCGAATTTGTAGATCATGATGAAATGAATGGCGATATCGGACGCAAAACTCGAAAGACAGAAGGGCAGCTGGTACTTTTTGCCAAAAATGACAGAAATGATGTAGCGCATTGTTTTAAGTTCCTTAAGAGGCTCGTAGATCGCTGAAAAGCTATCTAGATGGCAGCGATAGAACCTGTCGTCTTGTTTTAATGACTTCCTGAATTGAGCAAAGGAGTATCCAATCCGCTTAATCTCCCCATCTAGGTCCGAGCGGGCTTGTCGTACCGCAAACAGCGTGGATAATCTATCCCACTATTGACTCACTTCGAGAAACCGTAGATGGGAAAATTATCTATGAGAACACGACAGAATAGGGGAAAAGCCATCCAGGAACTGTCAGAAATATGCAAAAAATTGAGAATACAAAATCATCGTAGTTCAAAGATTGTTCAGTTTCAAAAATGTTTATGTGATTTTTATGGGAGCTATATGCAGCTAACAACGCCAGTCTACATAAAAATAATATTTCAAAAGAAATTTAAAAACGAAAGAACGACTTGAAGATATTGATTAGGAGGAAGGTTTGTTTCTAATGGTCCATAGGCATTGCTATTGTTGCAAGCTAAAGGCGACTTACAACAAAATACGATATGGGTTAGTCAACAAGATGTCTTCTTTCGTTGCTTGGGCCAGTTTTGAATATGGAAAGTATACCCTGAATAGAAAAGCGGTGAACTTACGGTTTATGCGAACTGTTCTAACCGGGTGATTCATTTCAGACGTGATCCCTTCGGCGGCCAAAACAGTCACAAGGTGTCCGCTTGTAGCCAGCCATAACGTAAATACTCCCAAACAATACTGAGCTACCTGTAGCCACCGCACGCGAGGTAGATCACCTAAACTTATCTTCATTGTAGCTGGTATTTTTGTTGAGATTCGTCGTCTGAGATCAGATTGTGTCAGGCGCCGGAAGAGGTCAGCCGATTACACAGCCATCACCATAACGCAGAGGCAAACGCGACTCGCGGCTCTCATTCGCCTAGCTATGTATTATATGAAAGTAACCTGCCACAGAAAAAAAAAATGACAGGAAAATAGAAATTTTTCTGTTGTTAGTTGTTTCGAGATGTGTCTTACCTTCTACGTCTCGTCGGCTGTTATAACTCTACCAAAGAGATCAATATAAACTAACTATATATAATATATTTTAATATATATTTGCTTATTAGTAGACCACGAAATATGGCACATTTATTAGAATACTAATTCCTATATTTTTAACGGGTGGAGTGTAAGTTAGTTGATGACAAAGCAATGTATTATAACATCCATTCACTTACTGTCGTCGTCACTACTCTTAAACATTTTTAACAGAAAAACAATTGTACTATGGGCTAGAATGAGTGTGCAAGTAGAATAAGGTTATGTTCCTTTCTTTGGTCTCATCAGAGAAAATGGCCGTTCCGCGTTTTGCCTGCTAGAACCAGTTGTTTAATGGTGCATACGCGAATACCACATTGGCATTATATTGTAAATTTGAAATACGACAAACAACGATAAGCTCAGGATATCTAGCAGTGCGCCGCCGTACTTTGAATCGCCCAACAAAAATTTACCACGTTTTTTTAGGACTAAGAAAAATTGCCGTGGCCCAACAGGCTGCTATCGCGATACCGAGCAAAAGCAGAATTTTTTCTATCCATTCATATTCAGTTCATGTTGATTATTGTAAAAATATTGCAAAAAAAAATCTGTAAACGTAGTAGAAGATCTGATCAACCACCTCTGCAGGGTCAGATCATATTAACAAATTAAGCAAGAAGCAAGGCGATACCTTACAGCTGTGGTAAAGCTTTGGCAATGAGTAACACGCAGAACAAAACATTTGAGCGATTTGAAAAGAATCCGATAGGCGGAGAGTCGCGGACAAATGTACAACAAAGAACCCGTATGTATTTTGAGAATGAACTATCTTTCATCGTCAAGGTCTGCCGAACGGAAGATCGGAGAACTTTCTACCCCTATGGGATAGTTGTTGAAAAGTGTTTGGCAATTCCTGATCAGCAACCAGAAACAATTAAAACCCCGCTAAGCTCTGGCCAAAAAATGGCAACGTTGAGAACAACAAAACTTCATGTAAACACTACATCAATGTCACCATAGAAACTCTGCTCTTATTTTTTATATAACATATAGGCAAGTTTGAAATTGAGACAAAGAGATCAATGCAAATTGTTGCGGTTCAATTAGCCTATATGGGTTTGTTCGCTCACGAAAGCAGGGGAAGACATCAGAAGCGAGCACCAGAAAATCTGTCCCCACCCATCATTGTTGAAAGAGTAGCAAACGCGCACGACAAAAAGGACACACTTTGGCCTATTTCACCGAAAAGAATTTTTTTTTGCAGATAATAAAGACAGGCGAAACAAGCCGCCACTTAGGCTGCAACGGGAAATATCAAAAAAAAAAATCGCCACTTTTCGAAGGCTCATACATACAAAGCTTGGGAGAGATTGGCCGCTCTTATGGCGGAACTGCATATGGTAGAAGGGTTAACAAATATATTGTCTCTGGCTATAGGCACTTTACTAGCGTTTAACATTAACTGAAAAATATTGCCGTGATCTCGCAGGTGATATTTCGGTCAGTGTCTTTTATGGCAGAGGATTTTTTAAACGAATCGAAGACGAGATGTAAGGGAAAAAATAGATCTTAGAGTTCAACTCCCCCAGCTCTTGTTTTCGTTTCTGACTTGCTGATACTGAGCCTTGATACACGTGATTCAGATCAGTGTAATAGACTATCTTCATAATCTAAAACACAAGTCCTATGTTAGGGCTGTAGGGTCCTATGTCGCCGACACGTTTTGTCTATCTATACTTTACCTCTACCTCTGTCAGTTGCATTGCTATCGTCCTTTTCAACGAAGCGTACGTACTTCTCCGATAGTTTAGACAATTAGTCCGTTCTTTCTCCGTCTTGGGTTCTGCCCTGATAATCAAAAAATCATTGCAAAGCAGTGATTTAAGGCCTTCGTCAAGATAGGTGAGCGTGCTTTGCTACAAAATATGAACAGCTAAGTAACCCTTAATGCAACAGACAGGATGGAATGATCATATACAGAAATTTTGTTTTTTCGATAATCTAAAGAAACAAAAAGAAAGAATAGTGATTTTTAGATGTTCCGTGCTCGACACTTGTGCCCTACCCTGCGCCTAACTTTTTTTTAATCATAAAGTATTCTAACTATGGGATTTCTCTGTGCTTAAAACAGCGTCTTCTCAATCTCCCACTGAAATGTCGACGTCAAACTAGGATTAAATACGTACAGCTGGTTCTAGTCATATAATAACAAAAATATTACTAAGATCGATATAATATGTAGATAAGGCATCAGACTAGGCCAAGTATATTGATTCTGCTCATAAGTTGAATGCACCTGTCAAAAGCTTGTTTATTGTACGCGCAAAATTTCAAACAAGTAAGTATGTCCCTATCAAGTGGTTGTTTGCTCGTTACCAGCAATTCTTAACCCATCTGAATTTTCGTTTTAATTTTAAATTATTTCAATAATTGGAATACTTCTTTCAACGGCCGAGAAACCAATGCACAGATCTCAACTACCTGATCCTTTTTTTAAATAGTATCCTAAATACTCGAGTGTACTTAAGTTTGCATGATGTTGATTTGGCGCATACCGGCTTTCATAGCTTTCGTTGATTTCAATATTTTTCCGTATGTACTAATAGATCGGATTGATCCATTTCGCGGTAAGAGTGTTCAATTAGTTTCTCTATAAAACGTATCCCGCCCGTTTAGGAGTAAACTAATTGTCTTGGAGAAAAGCATTACCCATGAAGATAGTACCCTTCTAGTGGCGCTGATTTATAGACATTGTATATGGTGGCCTTGTGCTCAGAGCGAATAGAGTTACTAGCGACATCGGCACCGATTTAGCTACTTGTTGATTTGTTACCTAGCTGATAGCTGTTTAGTGTCTATACGGCTATACTGATTGGTAACCGATTGGAAATCACGTATTGTTATTGTATTAGACCGATAAATTGAGTTATTCCATTTGTTGCCACACCCGTGGCTTATCTAGATTACAATCGAACAATCCTCTAGCGTCGGTTGTTTCCGATATGACACTCGTCATATCGGAAATCACAACGCAACGTACGATAGCAGATTTGTCTTGGCTATCTATCATCATTGTTATCGTCACTTTGTGTCGTCCTAATACCGTTTGTCATGTCGTTATTATCGTTGTCTTGTTCCCTGTTTAAATTTTCCTTATCAACCCCCGTTTGCCCATTCACCCCACTGGCTATAGGACGGCCTTGTTCCCCAGTGAAATTTAAGCGGCTCGCTTGTTTACTTAGCCAATCCTATCCAGCCTAACGTAACCTAAGAGGCTTCAGCGTTCGACTTTGGACGGATACGAACTGTTTACTCTGCCTACCGGCGTCGACCAGCCGACCGATCGACACTCACCCACATATTTACAGGTGCACATAACGACCTTCAAAGATTAAGAAAGCAATCATCTTTGAGAACTGCCGTCGCCATCGTCGTTAGTGTCTCCATTACGCCAGAGATACGCCAGGGAATACATTAAAACAAAAAAAAAAGTTATGTTTTTTTTCTGTACGATCTGCGTTACGTTCTGTACGTTATTTTCTGCCTATGTCCCGTGCAGGCGTATATTCTGAACAACGAAGGTGTGGCCCAAACTGTGCGCCGCTACGCGGAGCCAACAGTGTTAAACAGAAACAGTCGCAAAATGGACAGCGAGCTTCAGTGGAAACAACAATATCTAAACAGATTATACACCGATAATAGACATAAATACAAATCGAATAATAACGAAATAGGGCATAGATTCGCAAAAGCGTTGATTCTTCGGTAGTGATCGAGCAAAGGCGTGCACAATCTATCGGCCCACTGCGTCTAAACAGGAACAGCTACCCGTCCGAATGGACACAAATCCACTATAGTTCAATGCCTTCATACACCCTCGCTTGCTGGTTCTCAAACGTTCAACGTTAGCTGCTGGCAGTAAGCGGCCGCGTGTCCCTCCTTGAATTCGACATGTGACATCGCCTGCTTTTCTCCTGCTCGTTTTTCTTTTCAGTATCGACGCCGACGCAGGATGGCAAGGACTCGCCAGGTCAGCATCAGCAATCGTCAGACTGTTGCTTTATTTACTCTATATAGATGGACATTAGAAATAGCGGTGTTGCATTGTGTAATAACATTAATTAACATTATGAATGTGGTATGGCTGGCGTGTCTTCATCCGATCACACACTGACAGGCATCGAGCGAAAAGATTGTTCTTGCAGGAGGAGTTAGCTACACACCTAGGGAATACATAACGTAAATAGTCTTCGATCGACTTATGTATGTATGATCGATTTGTCTTCATATACAGATATCAGTAATTCCACCCATTGTTTACGTCTCCTCCTCTGTCTCTCTCTGGAGTGTATATATATATATCATTAGATATAGTATATTAGGGAGAATTAAAAACAGGTAAATACACAACAACTATATATTATGCATACGCGCACGTAGTATGTACGTAGTAATACAATGGAACGAATAATATATTGCAGCTTTCAAACGAAATGAAACGTATCAAAATCATATTGTTGTTACATCGTACGCTTACGAGCAAACGCCAGTCTCTGAACGAAACGTATGGTGTTGTTCCTTGCCATTTCTGATGAGCCTTTTAGCATCGGTAATAAGGCTATATGTCAGAGCTTCAACTCAGAGTAACCTTTTCGATGTGATCGGAACGATGACAACAACGTTGACGATAGAAGAGAAGCAATAGACAGAGTTGCTATTACATTGCTAACAACCTTGTTCATCCATAATATTGAACGATATTATCATTATTATATAATTGACAGAAGTCTGTTTTTTTTTTTCTATCTTAGAATTCGTGCTGCAGATTATATGGAGACGTGGTAAGATCTCTGAGATGACTAGTTGTTTATTTACGTGGCATTAAACCGGTAAACTTGTAACGCCGAATTTCATTTCATCCG